TATGGAGACAGACAGACAGACTCAGGAGGTGAGGGGAGAAGGCAGAAGCCAGTTACCGTATGGAGACAGACAGACAGACAGACTCAGGAGGCAGCTGTTTTGCTGTGAGCTGGCTTTGCTACTAGAACTGCAGCCCATGCCAAGCAGCTAGTGAACCCCAGAGTAAGCCAGAGTACAGATTTAGTGGTCTTTCGACCCATATACATCTCTGCCTTCTGTACGCTGGCTCAGATCACCCTGTGGATCCCTTAAAGCCTAGCTCAGCCCTGGAAGAGTCTGGAACACTTGAAAGTGTTATGGCCTGGCTATGGAGACTGTGGGGCTGACCCGGCTGCAGGGTCAGCAGGTTGTGGTTGTTATAAAATTTAACTAACCAGTCAAATAGACTACAACTGGAGAGAGGACTCAGTGGTTAAGAGTGCTTACTGCTATTGTAGAAGACCTGGGTTTGGTTCCCAGCACCCACACGGCCACTCATAACTACCTGTAACTCCAGTTCCAGGGGATCCCATTCCCTCCTCTGATCCCTGTGAGCTACGGCTACATACACTGTGCACACATACACACTCAGACACACATGCACATGTATACAGACACACTTAAAATACACATTAAAGGATGAAAACATCAAAAACCCCACGAAAACTGACAGAGGGAGCTGAGAGGTCTGAACTATCAGGTGTGGAGGGAGCCAACTCACAGGTACGGGATACACGGGGGCTCCACCTCCGAGAGGGCGGCTCGGTAGGCTCGGAAAGAGGATGAGCTGTCAATCAATGTGCAGTACTCGGCCAGGCCCTGCAGGATAGAGGAGGTGGATTAGTGACACGTGATGATGCCAGCTGCCCATAACATGCCGGACTCAGGCCCTGTCAGCACCTGTTTATGGTGTCAGCTACACCTCTGCGGCAGAGGGCCTCCGGCCTGTGTGTGTCAAGTGCCCTTGTGGGTGATGTGAGTCTATGTCCTCAGAGGAGACCCTGCTGGTAGGCTCACTTGTCCTTTCCTCTAGCACTCATCTTGCTGAAACCCACCCAATAGGCCCTATACACAGTACTGAGGCCAAGCCACTTCGGACAGATGGGCCGAAGAACGGATTCAGCAGGTGAAGCTGGGACCCGGGTGCAGGGGGAGTGGACAACCCCACAATCAGCCATGAAAGCCTCAGGCCCTGCTGACTGAAGGGAGACCAGAGACAGAAGCTGAGGTAGGAGAGGCAGCAGGCTTGGTTACACAGAGGTGGGTGGCCAGATGGGGACCCACGCCCGGTCTTGCTCAGGTCCACACCAGCCTGTCCAGACTTCCCGATACCCACCTCTGAGGTCTGCCTCTGCCACTCCAGTCTGCGGATGGGTGCTGAGTCCAGAGCCGAGAGGATGGCCAGGTAGGAGTTGAAGTTGTTCAGCTTGCGCAGGTGCTGCAGAGAGAGGGAGTGGTGGTGAGGGGAGGGGGAGGGCCAGGGGAGGGGGAGGGCCAGGGGAGGGGGAGGGGGCGGTGGTGAGGGGAGGGGAGGGCCAGGGGAGGGCTGAGGGCTCTAGTCTTCCCAGGGGAGCTGGGAGAGCTCAGGGCACTGAGCCAGTTACCTTCATGATCTTGATGAACTTCAGAAGCAGCCTCTCCCGGTCCTGGGCCTTCTCCTGCAGCATGATAATGGACCGTACCCTGCAGGAAAGGGCCAGAGAAGCGACAGCTGAGCTGACCATCCTCCACAGGCTTGGTGGCCCTGTGCCAGTGGGTCACAAGTCCTTACCCATCTAGAGCCCAGGGAAGCACAAGCATGGACTTGGTCCCTGATCTCAGAGTGTTCACTGTACCTCTGCAGGGGAGGCTTGGGGTCTGAAACATCTTGTCATCAGGGAAAGGCCTCCTGGGCGGACGCTGGCTCAGAGCTCAGCTAACAGTTGAGTATGAAAGCACTTGGTCAGCCACAGGGATGGAAACGCAGAACCTTAGCAATAACCGAGGCTGAAACCCAAGGCACGCCTCACCTGTGCCCTGTTGACATCATGGTGGCCTCAACCTCCTGTGGCTTACAAGGACCACTCCTATCCTGTAAAGGGTACCCGTGTCAGGGACATGTCAGAGGCCATGGCTCCAAAGGGTACCGTGTACTTCCAGCCTGCCCGGGCTTCCTGCAGTCAGCAACTGTGAATGAGGCAAGGCTCGGGAAGGAGGCTGCTCCTATCTGCCCTAGAAACCAGCACACTGGACTGGGATGGTGGCTGTTGCTGAGGGGAGGATGCTTCCCATGCAGGGGGAGAAGCAAGACCTCCAGGAAGCAGTGCTAAGGACACTGAGAAGCAATGAAAACTTCCCCCCGGTCATGGCAGGCACGTGGGGTATGGCTGATGCAGTAGGAGGTAGTGGCACCTAGTCACATCTTGAAGAGGCAAAAATGACTGGATTATACACACACAGTGCTGGCCTTCATTCTGCTTTAAGATTTCAGAGACAAGCTGGGTATGGTGGCACACGACTTTCATCCAAGCACTTAGGAGGCAGAGGCAGCAGATCTCTGGGAGTTCAAGGCCAGCCTGGGGTACATAGTAAGTTCCAGGACAGCCAGCCAGGGCTGTGCAGAGAGAGCCTGCCCGCCTAAGAACTCAGGAATGCTCATCAGTTGCTCTCCGTCAGGCAGTCAGGTGAGCTGCAGCCCCGATGACTTACTGGTACTGCAGAAGTATCGATGAGCAGTACAGACGGAAAGGACCCCTCCTGCCCTGCAGTCACTCATGGCAGAGGTTACCCACCAATCCTGACACTCTTCTCTGCACTCCAGAGCCTGTGGTGCCTCCTCCACCAGCTCTGCAGGCCACCCCATCCCTGCTTCTCTCTGCTGCCCACAGTTCCAGGTCAGAGCCCACAGGCTCTGCAAAGAGCTGAGGACTGACCATTGAACCTCGCTGCTAAGGAAGCATGGACTGCCCCCACACAGACCACTTGAGCAAGTGATGTGGTTCCTGCTCACCAGTAGGACATGTTGTTGAAGTGCTCCGTGAACTGGGTCAGATTGGGGCTCTTCTCCTCATTCTGCTCTTTGGCCCAAAGCAAGACCTCAGGGATCTGGGTGGGAACAGAAGAGATGGCAGTGCAGCCTGTGACGTGCCTGGGCCTGGGGCAGGGGCCCTCCCTAGGGCAGAGAGCTGCTTCCCTTCACAGGGCCACTCAGCACCTACCTCTATCTTATAGAAAAGCTCGGCGTCCAACAGCGTCAGCTGCTCTGCTATCTCATGGCTGTGAAAATCATGCAAGGTCCCTGGCCTGGAACACAGCATGAGAAGCATGGTTGGAGAACAGTAATGCAGTGACGCAGGCCTTAGCTCCACGGGCCCCCTGGGTCACAGGCTGCTCTCAGCTAACTGGCTTCTTTCCTCTTGACTGACACACCCTCGCCAGCTGGGCAGACACCTCTCAGGCTTTTAGGGAGTCAGGATGGCGTAGGAGGTAACATCAGTGCTGTGGAAGTCCAGAGCTGACCATAGCCCAGAGCACATCCGTCTCCTGCCTCGTCAGCTCCATTTGCATGGACAGAGGGCCAGCCACGGGAGCCCAGGGGCTGTCCTTGAGGCACCTCATCACAGGGCGGGGACACTGACTCCTTACCTGGCTGTGACACCCCTGGCTGTGGAGAGCTGTGGAGAGCTGGGCGAAAAGAGCTGCTGCCATGAAGGAGAGTTATGTGAAGGAACTGTGGAAAGAGCTGAGCAGGGAGTGTGTGTGTGTGTGTGTGTGTGTGTGTGTGTGTGTGTGTGTGTGTGTGTGTGTGTGTGTGTGCAGAAGGAGCTGAGGAGAGAATATGAATACCTAGGCAGGAGAGAGAGCAAGAGAGATTTTCAGAGAGAAGAGGGGGCTGTGTAAGTGTGTGTGGAAAATGTAACTGTACGTAAAGAGATGTAACTGTGTGGAGACATATTTTCAGAGAGATTTTAAGAGAGAGAATTTAAGTTGAAGTAAAAGAGAAAGTTATCATCAGAAAGCGTGTGTGTTTCCTTATTATTTCCCCTCAGACAGAGGAAGTCTAGCCCTCAGAAGGATAAGTATTTCCCTAAGCCCTCGCTGCATTCGTGGGTTTTCCTACATTACCCTGGAGGTGGCCTTGGAGCAGGCTCTCCATAAAGTCACTGACAGGGAGAGCCCCAGCCACGGGGGCCCAGGGGCTGTCCCTGAGGCACCTCATCACAGGGTGGGGACACTGGCTCCTCACCTGGCTGCGACACCCCTGGCAGCCAGAGGCTGGTCGGAATGGGCACACCTGAGTAGCTTCTTCTGGTCCACCTTGTCCAGAATGTTCTTCCGGAGTACTCGGGCCAGGCTGAGCTCTCCGCTGCATACCAGGCGGAAGACTAGTTCCATCAGCAGCTTCAGAATCTCCTCCGTCAGCTCCACCAGGCTAAGGGCCAAGGGCACTTGGTGAAACATAGGCCAGGACCCCAATGGAGGGCACCACTCACAGCTTCCAGTGTTGGGAGTGACCTCTCTGGAATTGGTCCCTGCCAACTCACTCAACACACTTGCTGCTTTCTGCCTTGGGGAAGCTCCTGGTCTAACCCCGGTGATGAGATGTCAGGGCAGAAGACCCTCATCTCTGGGCGGTGGTGGCGCACGCCTTTAATGCCAGCACTCGGGAGGCAGAGGCAGGAGGATCTCTGTGAGTTCGAGGCCAGCCTGGGCTACAGAGCGAGATCCAGGACAGGCATCAAAACTACACAGAGAAACCCTGTCTCGAAAAAACAAACAAACAAACAAACAAACAAACAAACAAACAAACAAACAAACAAACAACAACAAAAAAGAAGACCCTCTGCAAAAATAAAATAAAATAAAACAAAACAAAAAATAAATAAATAAAAAAAAAGAAAGCTTTCAGAGGATTTGAGTTCAGTTCCCAGTACCATCAGGCAGCCCACAATCTCTTAGAACCTCACTTCCAGGGGATCTGATACCTTCTTCCAGCCTTCTCTGGCATCTGCGTGCACATGATATATATATATATATATAAACTCATATAGGCACATAAAATAAGTACATATTTTAGATGCATATATTATATGTACACATACCAGTTCTGCAGTATTTTACTTACATACAAATACACATTAATACATACTGTTAACAAGAGATCTTATTATAATAGATTGTAAAAGACTTACAAGTCAGCATTATGTTGGTATGTTCAAAATAAAAGAAGGCAAATAAATTTCACTTTCTAAAAACAAAACAAAACAAAAAAACAACAACAAAAAAAACAAACAAAAAAGAAGACCCTCATCTCCACTGAGCCCCTCCACTCCTGACCTTAGCATCATGCAGCCACCAGACAAGGGCAAGATGCCAGGCGAGGGCAAGGATTCAGATGTGGCACACCAAGAACAGGGTTACCTGAGCATGGAAACGGCAGTCACGGCCGAGGTTCAGACAGCCCTGTGGCTGCGGAGAGCCTGTGGAGATGCAGCCTCTGCACTCACCCCAGCCCCCATTTGGCCTACACTGCTGGGAGTCTTAAGGTGAACCAGTCCTTACCCAGGAAGGGGCAGTCCCTGATGGGACAGGGGTGCTCTTGAGGGTCTAGGACCCATCCTACCCTTGTCTGTAGTGTCCCTCAGAGCTGGGATGAGGCAATGGAACCAGGGGCAACACTCTGGGCTGCAGGCAGCCCCCCCCCCGGGGGGGGGGCAGAGTGTAACGGTTTTACGATCCAGGTGAGGGAGCCTGCACCATGCCCACGGCTTGCTAGTGGTCTGCTGTGATGCACACGGCCCTGGACACCTGCCAACCACTCCTGGGGCCCTGGGGCCAGGCACTCACCAGAGCTCATCCACTACTCGCACCAGCACAAAGAATGTGTTCTTGCTGACTCGCTTCTTGAATGTGTCAGCGAAGGGAGAGAACTTCTCGTAAGTAAAGTGTGGGTTAAGGTCCACAAGGCAGAGTCTGCATGGAATGCTAATTTTGAGGCACGCCCCCTTCCCCACCATACGCCATGTGCAGTGCTGGGAACCCTGTGAGTGAAGGCTTAGCTTATGGAAGCAAAGGCCTGGTTTGTGTGCAGCAGGAATGTGCAAATCCGGCCCAATGGTTCCACAGGCTGCAGGACCAACTCTGGCACCATCCAGGGAACCTGCAGGTTGGCCCTGAGTGCTGACATGCTGAGACTCACGGTGCTGGGTCTCAGGTCGAGGGAGCAGGTCCCTGGCTAGACATTCTCCAAGACCCAGGACCCAGAGAGTGAACAGGCCCAAAAGGCCTCCCTCTCCATTCTATGGGCTTCCATCCAGAGATCATTTCCCCAGCCATGTGGCCACAATGGCGTGGATGCTCCTGGTAGTCTGCATCTTGGAAAGCCAGGCTGGTCCTTCCTTGTGGGAGCAGCAGACTCTACAGGTGTTCCCCTGTCCCAGGACAGCCCTCACACCTGACTCATGACCACTGACGCTGGGGTCTACCTTAGAGATTGTGGTTTCCTGTCCCCATTAACTCCCCATACTTTCCCTAATCCCCAATGACCCATGACCTGTGTGTTGGCACTCACGGGGAGCCACACCTCATGGATGGTCTACCTGGCCCCCAGCGAAGTGCTGCCCCAGGTCTGAGGGGGAAATGCCTCCATGAACAGGTTGGCCGAGGTTAAATGAGGGAAGGGCTGAGAAACTCAGGATGGCAGGAGAGGTTGGAGGTGGGAATACACAGGTCAGTTACCCATCCTCCATTTCACTGGCACCATGGGAAATATGGTGTAACAGAAATAAAAATGGTCTCACAGCCAAGAGAGACCACACATGCAAATGCATGTCAGATGTGACATGTTCCTGGCAGATGCAGTTGACAGTCTTTTGCTAGGCCAGGCTCTAGCAGGTGCTTAAAGCCCACAAATGGGAAATGACCACACCTGTCCTGTCCTGACAGGCCAGGACGGTTAGTCAGGGTCAGACTGAGAACAGGAGGTGTGCGGGAGCCCGAGAGGGTTCAGGGCACACAGAAGGCAGAGAGCTGCCCCAGTGACAGCAGCTGCCCAGCAGATGGCAGTCATAGGCTATGTGGCTGGGAGGTGGCCCAGTAACTGTTGTTCCCAGGCAGGCTCAGGACAGAGAAAGGGGAACAGGCAGCCAAAGTGGGTTCTTCTGAGACCACAGGGTCTTGGCCACTAACACAGGGAATGACAATGCCCAAGGCTGAGGCCTGGGCAGGGGGCAAAGCCTAGCTTTGTGTGGCCAGGGCAGGTAAAAGGGACAAGGTCTGCCTCGAAGTCACTGAGACACCATTGTTGTCGTCATCGTCGCTGTCCTCTTTTTCTTCCTTTTTTTTTTGGTTTTGCAAGACAGGGTTTCTCAGTGTAGCTCTACCTACACTGCATAGAACTCGCTCTGTAGACCAGGCTGGCCTCGAACTCAGAGATCCGCCTGCCTCTGCCTTTTGAATGCTGGGATTAAAGGTGTGTGCCACCGCCTGGCTGAGTTTTCTTCTCTTAAGCCTGCCCACTGGTGTCCACCAGCTGGACACCCAGGGCTCAGTGTGGAGAAGCTGCAGCAGCCCCTGGCAGCGCCACCGACCTCCTTCCTCTCTCAACCTTTCTCAGTCTTTTCCAGAACTACCCAGTGGCCCCACCCATCCTCGGCAGTGCAGCAGAGCTGTTCCAGGCCCTCCATGTCATCCCATGTTCTCCTCTACCCTGTTGTGAGAGTCAGGGCCAGGACACAGCTGGTTGGGATGGGAACTGGGGCCACTGCAGGGGTGAAACTGCTACCCTGGGAAGGGCTGAGAACCCGAGGGTTGGTGACACTCTGCAGGACAGTTAACCTGTATGCCCAGCCTCAGTTTCCTCAATGACATCACCAGAAATGGAATAACACCAGTAAAAACGGTCTCACGGGCTGAAGGCTGCAGGCCTGGGAAGGATATCGGTATTGCAGTTTCTTGATGAGCTCCTCCGGGCTGATGAAGGTCCTGTAGGTGGTCAGGAAGGCCTCACAGTACAGCACCAGGTCTGCGGAAGCGCAAAGGAGCCATTTAGTAGGACCCAGGGTGTGGGCTGTGGACTGCAGCATGGGCACCATGCTGTGTCCTCTCTGACAACCAGGCCAGGGAGGGGAAGGGAGGGTCCTTTTCCTGCCTGTGTCCTGCATCTTTCATCTCACAGGCGCTGCTGGCTCCCTGGGGAACCAAGCCGTGGGAGGGTCTGAGGCCCAGTGCAGGGAACGAACTTCAATTACTCAGTGACCCTGTGCTGGTAAGGGGCAGAGACTTGGGCACACTGGCTCTGGACTGTACCACCCCCAAATTAGCACAGATGCTACCCTAATGCCCAGTGGTTCAGTGGCTCTTCACTGCTCTGGACAGAGACAGTAGTCCAAACTTGCCAGCAGGCCCTCACAGTCAAACCCGAGGTAATACTTTCAGATGACAGGTCCAGTAATTAAAAAGCGGGGGAAACTCCATTCTAAGTCCTAAGGGGAGCCTGAAGTGTCTGTCTGCTGCAAGGCTCAGCACGAGGCTCACTGCCCACACAGGGCAAGGGCAGCTGTGAGGACCAAAGCCCCAGTAGCTGGAGACCTCAGGTTGGTAGCACCACCCCTTCCAAAGGGGAGGGCATAGCCAGCCAAGGACCCCTGCCTTTACTTCCCTGTTTACTACTGTGGCTTCTTTTCCCTATGTCTTGATATGAAGCACAGGATGGCATAGGAGACACAGTGGGCTGGCTCAGCCGGCTGGGCTGGGCCACACTGGACCTGGGAAAGCTCACCATGTGGCTGGGTACTCACCAATACTCTCTGAGCTTTACTTCCTGGGTCCAGACCAGCCTCCCCAACCTTCGCCCATACTTTCTCCATTTGCTGGGGTGGAGGAGTTACAAGGTATATGTGGCATCTCGTGCCATCACACTGTGGCCAGGAGTATCTGCTTGCTCTTGCATTTGGGCTGCATTGGGCCTGGTCCCTGAGCTGTGCTCAGCCTCATAGTTGTACTCTAACCTACCAGCTCAGTTAGGCTGGAGTTTTCTAGAAAGAGTTTGCGGCGAGAGAGCAGAGATGGGACCAACACATATGTTTGTTTCTGGAAGGATGGGTACAAATGCAGAGGACCACCGCTAGGAGCCAGTGGCCTCTGGCCGGGTGTGTCCTAGTTACCGATGAGCCTCAGAGTCATACTCCACAGGCCGGAAGCTAAAGAAACTCATGGGAGACCAAGAGTAGACCAGACTCGAGGAGGGCCATGCTCTACCATGCTGGGCACAGCCCAGGCCTGCTGGCTCCAGCACTCTTGGCATCAGCTGGCTGCTGGCTGTGGGCTATGGTGTCACCTGGCTTCTGGTGGGAGCCTGCGGCAAACGCTGCAGTGCTCACAGGGCTGTTTTGGTTAAGATCCCCAGGGGCCTTCAGAGGAATGGAAGCTTGGGGGCCAAGGAACAGGTCTGGCACACAGGTCCTAAGGAAGGGACAGGATCTGAGCTTGGGCCTAACACCATACTCAACCTGGCTCTGCCCCACACTTTTCACAGTGCCACCTGAGAAAAAAGCTGTATGACAAGTGTGCCCTCCTTCCTGCATGCTTGTCTAATGGGTTCAGGCCTGCTTGTCACAGCTGAGTCCCAGACATATGAGATGTGGCTCCCAGGGCCTTTGAGTCATATACCATTGGTGCAGGAAGCCACTTGCCTGAAGAGCTTTGCCATCTGTCATGGGCACCCTCTCCACTCTGGTGTGGCTCATGGCCTCTGTCTCAGGTAAGACTCCCAGGGAAAACCAATTCTGCTTCTTCAGTGATCCCAAATCCTACTGAAACTTCAGCTCAAAAGTCTCCTTAGTGCAGACCCAGTGGGTAGACCAGAAGGCCTTCAGGCTCCCTGTCCAGAGTGCCCTTTGGCCTGGCTACAGTGGGTAGGACAGGAGAGTTGCCTCACCAGGCCAGGCCAGAAGCCAGCTGACATCCCAGCCCCTCACTTCTGGATAAAAATGAGGTGGAAACGGCTGCTTTGCCAAGGTGCCCTGATGTGCCACTCAACAAGCCCTGGGCACTGCCTGCACCCCAACCCCAGCAGGTCAGGGAACCACAGCCCTGCAGGAAAGGGCTGTCCTGTAGTGAGGCTGTGGTGGGCTTTGGACTGAGTCTCTAGGACCACCCTCCCATTCTGGCTGGAAGAAACTAGAAGAAATGCTGGAATACTGAAGGGCTCAACAGCGGCTCTAATGAGGGCGAGCTTGTATGAGGCTTTTCAGCTTCTTCCAGGCAAAGTTTTCGTGCTATTTTCTTTCTCTTTCTTTTTTTTTTTTTGGTTTTTCGAGACAGGGTTTCTCTGTGTAGCTTTGCACTTTTTCTGGAACTCACTTGGTAGCCCAGGCTGACCTCGAACTCACAGAGATCCGCCTGGCTCTGCCTCCCGAGTGCTGGGATTAAAGGCGTGGGCCACCACTTCCCGGCTTCTTTCTTTTTTTTAAAGAAAGGTCCTTGCTCTGTGGCCCCAGCTGACTCTGAATTCACGGCCCCTCCACCAGCCTCCTGAGTGCTAGGGTTACGAGTGTGTGCTGCTGTGGCTGCTTTAACTTTAATACCACTGTTGAACATGTTGTTATCCAGTGGGCTGCCCTTGGAGCACACACTAGGTACCAACGAGTGGTACACCTCAGTGTGTGCACAGGGCCAAGGGCATCAACACCTTGCCCAAGAGAGAACATGCCCAGGCATAGTCGGACAGGGTCAGGGTTTCCAGAGGTGGCTTCTTCTGCCTCTGACCTAGTACCATCAGGCCCAAAGTTCCACCCAGTCAGTGTTTGCCAGGAGATGACAGTGTAGTGGGGTCATGTGATGCCTTTGGTGGGACCCAAAGCCACTGTAGTGGAAGCTGCCATACCTTTTCTGTCTGTCTCAGTAGCATGGACCAGTAAGATGTCTCCTGAACCTCCACGAACATCTGGCCCATCATCACCCTGGAGTAAAAAGAGCACGAGGCAAGGCTGAAGTGACAAACTTCAGGGACCCTGAGTCCCTTCTTTCTCTTCTCCTCAGCTCAGCAGGCAACACTACACTGTGTACACCCTGCTGCCATGGACTCAGTAGATGGGCACTGGTCAGAACTCTTGTAGGAAACCGGCACCGAGGAAGCTGTGCAGATGCGGTGGGCACCAGGGCATCTGACCTCCCAGAGGACACGTAGGGTCAGGGCACTATGGTTTCAACCCCACCTCTACCTCCTGGCTCATACCGAAAGGTGAGATTCCAGAGGAGAGAGACAGCCCCTTAGCCTGGGAGACAGGAAGCCACCTTTGTGCTTAGGCCCTTTCCTAGGTGGAGCAGGGTTCATCTGTGGGGACATGCCCCGCAGGCTGTTCTGGGAAGGACTTCACTAGAAAAGCACAAACATAACAAGACCACTCATGACACTGGATGCGTTCCTGGCCGCCAAACCCAGTCTGCCAGCGGGAGACCAACTCTATCTCCACAGGCAAACAGGCTTCAATCTGCTCCAGTGACAGAGCTGTGGGCAGGTTGACTCCGAGGGAGACAGCGCCAATACCCATCTGTACGTCCCACGGATGCTCAACTCGGCTGTTCCCATCTAGATTCCAGTGTTCTGAGTGTTCTGGGTTTCCTACCTGGGACAAGGCTGTCTATGTTGATGACCTGATTTTCCAGAAGAAATTTAGCTCTTCTTTCTGCATAGGCCCTGCATGGACCCTGCTAACTCTACCAGCACCCTGATTGCCTGAGTGCTGACATCTTCCTGGCTTGCCCAGGAACATGCACAGGGCAGCACCTGTTCTGTGGGTGCTGCAGCTATCAGACCAGTTCCCAGATGCACAGCTACTCAGGGGCCAAGATGGCCCATGACACCCCAAGTTTCTGGAATAGTACAGAGAAGAGACAAGGCTCTTGGGCCAGCGTCTCTCTTTCATGAAATGACTGGGTGTTGTTCTTATCAACAGGGCTCCTCAAACAAGGCCCAGCTCAGAGTCCAGACCCAATTTTCTTAATAGGCGGAGATCAGGGGAGGGGAGGTGCCGCGTTATCAACAGCACACTCAGGCCTCACTGCTGAGGGCTTCCCATGCAGGCTACACTGAGCACCAATGGCTGCTTCTTTTGCATTGCCCTCAGGGAGGCTTTGCAATGGCCAAGTTCACTTTTGGGAAATAGCAAGAAAGGGACAGTGAGCTTCCCACCAGAACCCTGACTCGGGTCTCCCTGCTGGGGCACCCAAGGCCACATTTCTCTCCCCTCCCTTCCCTCTTGCTTGGTGGCTCTAAGATTCAGGCCTGGGGAATCCTTACCTCTTGTTTGAGTGTCAGCCTGGCCATAATTTCATTATGGTCAATGAGGGAGAGTTCATCTACTTCCTCTTCTGACTGGGCTGGCTCCAAAGCATCCAGTGACTTTGGGGACCTAGGAGGAGAAGCGGTTGGTGCTGAAACTGTCAGACATGGCCCGGCCTCCCCAGTCCCTGGACACCTGTAGGCTGAGGCAATCCAGGTGATGGTCTTTCTTTCTCTTTCTTTCCTTCTTTCCTTCTTTCTCTCTCTCTTTCCCCCCCTCCCTCTTTATTTGTTTGTTTATTTATTTTCCCCTGCCCCGTGATGGTTAATCTTAATTGTCAACTTAATGAGCCCTACAGAAATCAGGTCTCTGTGCATGCCTGAACAGGTTAGGTGGGGTGGGAAGATCCACTCACTGTGGGTGGCGCCATTCCCTCAGCTGGGGTTCTGGATGGTCTGAAAAAGAGCTGAGTACAGCATTTACTGCTCTGCCTCTTGATGGTGGATGCAGCACACCAGCTGCCTCAAGCTCCCGCTGCTGTGCCTTTCCCATCACTAGACTCCAACGCCAAACTCTGACCAAAATAAACCCCTTCTCCCCTAGGTTACTGTTATCATGGTAACGGAAAAAGTAACTAAGACACCTGCTTATGCACAGACCAGGGTGTAAGAGCTGCTCATGGACAAGCCCTAAATGGCAACTATACTGTGAAATTGGAGTGACAACCTGGCTCCTGGTTCTGTCTGGGGACATGTCTGTTCTCTGAAGTCTCTTCTGCAAATGGAAAGAACTAGGCTGTCGAGTGAAAAACGGTCCTGAGCTCTCCTGTAATGGTTTGGTTTTAGCTTGTCCAGCTTCATCACACACACACAAGAGCAGTGCTTGAAAGGAAGTGCAGTGAGAGGGCTATGAGATAAGCTGGGCAGTGGTGACGCACACTTTTAATCCCAGCACTTGAGAGACAGAGGCAGGTGGATTTCTGTGAGTTCGAGGCCAGCCTGGTCTACAGAGTGAGATCCAGGACAGCCACCAAAACTACACAAAGAAACCCTGTCTTGAAAAACCAAAAACCAAAAAAAAAAAAAAAAAAAAAAAACAACCCAAAACAAACAAACAAACAAAAAAAACCCACAAAAAAGGGAAGACATGTTCCTCCATGCCATCCCCAAGCCCTTTCCCAGGGTCCTAACTCTGCAGACCTTTTGCTTAACAGTAAGAAAATGCTGTGACCCAGCAGATCAGCCCCATATCGTCCCAAGAGACTGCCTTTGGAAGAGGCAGCCATGGCACTGGGGCAGGGGAAGGCCCCTGTCCTGGGCAGACAGATTTAAAACACTGAACAGCATCTGGTCCAAGGAAGAGGAGATGAGATTTCTTCAGTGTGGGCAGCCAAAGGCATCTGAGGACGATTCTCAGGTCAGATCCAGAGACACTGGCCAGCCCTGGGGTTGTCACAGGACACTACCGCACCCCTAACAACACTAATTACATCTTAATTTATCTTGTGGGGGTGCTTATGTGGACATGCCACAGTGATGGTCAAAGGACACGTGTGAGAATCAACTTTCTCCTTCCAGCAATGGGTCCCAGGGACCCACAGGGCAGCAGTGCCCTTACCCACTGAGTCCTTGCTCAGGCCTCAGGGCGCATTTTCTCAGCAGCTGAGCTGCAATAACCTGTGTCTCAGTAAGAACGTGAACAGCCAGGGCTTGGGGAGAGCCATGCTTGCTGCTGCCTTAGAAGGCCAGCCAGTGGTGTGGCCTTTATGCCAGCCAGACAATGTCTCAGGAGCTCTTCTGACCACCAGTGTGCTCATCTTTCTGCCCATTCTGCCATCAGAAGTCTGCGGAGCTCCAAGAGGAGCCCTTGGGAGAGCCCTCCCTCAGGAGGTGGGTAACCTGAACATCTGAACTCAGAACATGACACCTGATTCCAGTGAAGCAAGTGACGGGATTCCCAGGCTGCTTTTGCTTGGCACACACAAGCCTTCTGGCCACGTGTCATACTAGAAACATCCACCTCTGCTTCTAACACCTGGGGGAGTCACCAGACAGACTTATGGCAGTGAAAACCCAAGAGTGGCCAGGATGCAGGTGGTTCCACCCACAAACTTGTCCAAACTGCTTGAAGACCTTTGTTTTTTTTTTTTTTTAAAAAAGGTCTTCCCTTAAAAAACAAAACAAACAAACAAAAACAACCAAACCCTCTCAGTGCCACACCTGCACTGAGGCCTGCCACTGCCAAGCGGGCAGTGTTTTGCCATGATAAACCCATGAGACCTCAGGTGACCAGTCCCCAACTTAAGAGACGGATGCCTGACTAGCTGGAGCACCTCATAAGGCAGGTGACGTCAACATGAAGCAGCAGGGGATGCTCACTGGCGCTCTTTCAGGCTGCACTGAAGGGTTCCAGGGAACTAGCTACCCTGCTGCCAGCCTCAGAGACAAGGTCTCTAAAGGCACTGCAAGGGTTGAGTCATGAACCCCAAAATTATATCAGATACTCCTAGGAGGAGGGGCTGTGGCTGTGGCTCAGTTATAGCACTTGTCTGGCATGTAGCAGGCCTTAGGTTCATCCTGGGGTGGAAGTGGCGAGAGGGGAGGGAGAGACTGATAGATTTCTGGGTTTGTTTTCCAGGTGACATGAGGGGACCTTTTCTGTCTCAGGTGCAACAATGATATTGTGATCATTATTTCCACTTGTCAGGAGAGGGGCCAAGGGTCACAACCCCTGTAACCTACTTTTGAAATGGCTTAGTAATACAATATACATGTTTATGACTAGAAATGCCCACAATCACAAGTTTGTGGATGGGCGGGTCTTTTACATTTCCTATGTGACCTTGAGTTGGAAGAAACCAAAATCAAGGAAGGTGGGGCTGGGGTTTGGGACAGAAAAGGGGCCCAGAGTGGGTGTGGGACAGTAGAATGGGTATGATCACGAAGGCATGCTGGCTGCTGCAGAGCCCTTTAAAGGGTGGGTTATTAGTGATCTTTCTGTTTCCTTGTGGTCTCCCCCTTGAACACAGACAGTTTTGAGAATCAGAAGAATACAGAGCCTCCACGCAAAGCACAGGTGGCCTCACTGAGCGGACACTGCTCTTGGGGCCTGGGTACCCCCTGCTCCTCCTTACCTCTCCCCATTTTCTCTGCTGTCCTGCCCAGATGCACTATTGACCGAGGGATCTCTGGGATGGCCATCCTTTCCCGAGGGTGGTTCCTGCAAAGGGAAGGAATGGTGGGTTTGGACAGACAGCCCGTGCTGGGGTGGTCTGTCTGCTCGGCACCCCTGTCTGCAAGAGTGGCCGAGAGCAAGCGCCTATGGAGCAGCTGGAGGTGGGGACAGTTGATGATGACCGGGGTTAATGACCAGAAACACAAGCCCTCTGGAGACAGCCCAGCACCTGCCTTGGAAAGAGAGGAGGCGCCACTCCTTCCAACATCTACCACCTGTCTACCACCTGGTACAGACCCCTGGCCCACTTCCTGAAGGAAGTCCCAGCAAGTCCTCTCTGAGCACTCTCCTCCCTCTCTCCCCTACAGAAACTGACCACAGGAAGTCAAGGGCCTGCTGAGGGACCCCACACAGCTGGCAAACGGCAGACAGTGGACTTGAACCCTTCGGGGCTGTCTGCCTCCAAAGCTTGTATCCTTCACCACGACTCCCTACAGAATCTTAGGGTCATCATGATCCTTAACCAGTGACAGTTTCAGAGTCTAGCTGCTCAAACCCACAAATGTGAACCACCTTGAGCAGACAAACTGCCTCCATACCCAATGACAAGACAAGTCCACAATGTCCCTGAGCTGGCATGGAGTGGTGGTGAAGAGAGGCCTTGTGAACACCGGGACCATCCCCAGGGAGAACATCCTCACAGAAGAGTGGGGCTGGCACTGCAGAGTGCCCACTGGCAGAGGAGGGCCATGGAGGCTGGGCACAGCCGGATGATGCTAGTGACCCAGGTCCCCAGAGGGTGGGACCCTGGTTCAGCTCTCACAAACAGGGCCAAATCCCACAGTAGGGGAAGCAGCTCCTGACATTGTGCTGATGTCTGGGGGGGGGTGGCGCCTTGGCGGAGAGACACCTGAAAGCCCAGGAATCATGGCATGAGCACTCCTAGTAGATGGCCCTGATGTTCAGGCTGGGCTGGCCAGTGCAGTGATCCCTGGTGGAGATTCTGGTCCTTGAAGACCTGGCCTTATCCTCTAGAGGAACTTCTCATTTAGTCTCAATTTGCATCTCAATTTGCTGAAGCCAAACTCGGGAAGCCTCTTGCTTCACAGAGGCTTTGCCCCTTGAAGCCACAAGCTGGTCAGCAGCATAATGCAGGCATGGACCTCAAGGGTTCTGCTCTCAGAAGACAAGCATGGCTAGCCATCACTTGCCCTGCTTCTTTGGGAGTAGCCGAGGGCAGTGAGGCATGCTGGGAGGAACTGAAGGGCAGGAGTAAAAGTAGCTCTTGAAAGAGGGAGATCAGCACTAGAGGGAGGATGGGAAGAAATTCCAGGGAGAAGCTGGGACTGTGGCCAGAGTCCACACCAGAGGCTTCTGGAGATTTCTAGAAGACTCATCCAGCCAGGCTCTGAAGCAGAAGCAGGGCAGTCCTCTACCTGGAAGCCATATCCTCTTCCATAGGATGGGCTAGCTTCTAGCAGGCTTACGGAAGCTCAGCCAATGGAAGCAGCTGTAAGGAAAGCCACCTCGAGGGGGCAGTTGCTGGCCCATGCACAAGGCCACCCACCCGAGGTTACTTACTCCTCCAGAGGGAGCCAGCTCCTCGCTGGTCTGGCCAGAGGAGTACAGATTGACATATTCACCCCCACCAACTTCCTCGCTGGTGGCATTTTCACTCTAGGGGAAGACAGGGTAAGAGGAAAGACAATGGGCCAGGCCCTCTGGTCAGCCTCCACAGCTGAGAGAGGGCAGCTGCAGGGCAGGCCTGAATTAGGAAGAATGCTCCGTTCACAAGAAAGAAAAACGCCTGAGAGCTCCGCAGTTACCCCTGGAAAGTGTCTCCACAGTTACCCCTGGAAAGTGTCTCCACAGTGCCGAGGACAGAGCTGTTCCTACTGCCTCTTGCCCCTGTGCTAGCCAGGCCCAGTGTCCTACTGGACCCTCTCCAAAGTCTTCAGAGCCATTCTGGAAACTCCCAGAAAGCTGCTCCACTTGTAGCAGGCCTGGGGGGGTTCTCAGTCTGTGGCAGGGCCTGTAGGGGTTCTCAGCACAGTGGGCAAGAACAACATGCTTGATAACTCAAGATGCTGGAACTGCCCCCATCTGTCAGACCCTCTTTGTCCCTCTATCCGTCCCCTCCGCTCTATAATGCAGTTCCTCCCTGTGTTCTGGTGAAGCCCAGGAGCCCCTGCATGGGCCCCACAGGCAACCTTACCTCTGTCTCTTCTACTTCACAGGAGTCTGGACCTCTCTACAGACACACCAGAAAGAAAGCTCATAGTGTTTTCTATCTTATCCTTGTGACAACTTACTGTTCTAAATGATCCCTAGCTCACTTCCCAGTGTGATGGGAATTCTATATAAAAGATTTGGTTTCTACTCTGGAAGCAGGAGGATCACTACTACCCTCTGAGGCCCCATAGCTGCTTTCCAGGCATGCTTCAAGTGGGTTCACACGAGCAGCAGACTGGGCTGGAGGGGGAGGACAAGGCCCTCTGTGAGCATCATCGTTTTTCTAAAACCCTGCAGGCCTAAGTGCAGATGTGCACAGATGTGTGTGTACTGAGTTCTCACCGAGTCAGTGAAAGAGGTTTCGGAAGGAAGGCGGACAGGGTTCCCATGAAAGCTGCTGTCCTGAGAAGACGAGAGAGGCCCGTCCACGGTGCTGGGAGGCGGACTGCTCACGGTGGGCACCGCTAAGTCCGAGCTCTGGGACGCGTGGACAGGTGGGAAATGTGGAGAGGAAGAGGAGGTAGGCGGAAGGAAAGGTTGGACGGAGGCTTGGTGGTGAGGCATGAAGTCCTGGGAGTAAGACCTAAACACAGATTTGTACTACAGAACCCAGGCAGAAAACACACACAACGAGAATGTGGGAAGAGAAAACAGACAAGAGAAAAGCTGGTTAGGTTAACTGTGGTTCAGCACTGATCATCTGTCCTCTTTCCTAATCAGGAGCAGTTGGCCATGCCAGACAACCCCCTTACAGACTCGCATGCCTAACTGTTTTCAGAAAGGGACTCTGGGCTGGACACTGACTAGCACTATCTGAACAGCAAGACGTGGACAGTGGATCCCTGGTGTCCAAGGACAAGACATCCCACTCACCATGCTGATGACGACATGTGCCTTTGAGATGGAAACGAAACCCCTACCCACCCCCCCCACCTCAGGGACCCCAGGGCTAAATCCTAAGTCACATTTGGAATCTTTTGGAGGACTCTCCAGCTTATCCCTTAAAAGGCAAACATAACATCGTTTAAATACTGTAATGTGCCTCAGCCCCTACTCCTCCTCCCCCCACCCCCTTTTTTATTCTTTCCAGACAGGGCTTCTCTGTGTAGCCCAGGCTGGCCTCAAACTCACAGAGATCCTCCTGCCTCTGCCTCCCGAGTGCTGGGATTAAAGGCGTGAGCCACCAGCTATCTCAGGCCCTTTTAGAAACCGACTGGAGGCGGTGCACTACACACACACGGTTCCTCTGACCCTGCTCTCCTCCTCACTCTGCTCTCTGCATCGTTAACAAACGCAGCGACTCTACAGCCCTCTGGTGTCACCCCAGAGCCGCTGGCACGACTCCTCCAGCTTCTCACCTGACAGAAAGTCAGATGCCAGACAGAGGTGTCTGTAAGTCCTCACAGCTTCTGAGGCCCAGGGAGCAAGCTCCCCGTCCCCAAGCCGGGCTCCTGACCACCCAGCTGAGGAGTGTGCAGTGCCTGGTAGCCACACTGCTAACTACCACAGGGCCTGGGAGAGCAGTGTGAGGAGGGGACGCTTGGTATTCCTGCCAGCCTTGTACCCACCACAGGTGCCAACTGAAACATGTACGCAGCTCACTGTGGGCTCTGTGCATCTGCTGTGGCGCAGGATTCTCAGAACCCACTGGGGGAAATAAGAAAGGAAGAAGAAACAAGTTTTAGATTGAAGGAGATATTAGGTCTGAGTCTGAAATGCCCAGGTCAGGCTCTTGTGCTGCACACGGTCTCCAGTTGGCGGCACTGTTGTAGATGCTGCGGGACCTAGCCAGAGCTTTGTCACTGAGGCAGCCTTTGACGGTTACCCAGCGCAGGGAGCTTCCTGCCCCATACTCTTTGATTCCGGGTCAGCTGTAATTTTCAGCACAGGCTGCAGACGCTCTGACATCCCATTCCCCAACACACACACCTTACTACTTCTCCATCTGTGTGACTCCGGACACACACATTCTTGTGTATCAGTCTCTCCATCTTTAAAATGGGGTGAGCTGCTTGTGGTAGCACACGTCAGTAATTTACTAACGGAGGTGGAGGCAGGAGGATCACAAGTTTGAGGCCAGCCTGGGCTGCACATTTATTGGGCCAGGCATGGTGGCACACACCTTTAATCCCAGCACTCGGGAGGCAGAGGCAGGTGGATCTCTGTGAGTTTGAGGCCAGCCTGGTCTCCAGAGGGAGTTCCAGGACAGCCAGGACTGTGTAGAGATACCCTGTCTCAATGGGGTGGAAAGGACAGCCCTTCTCTCAGAGGACAGTTGCAGCCACCAGTGAGACAGCGTCCTGCCAGTTCTCAGTGTGGCCCATATTCCACACCAGCTGTCTTTTACTGCCCCCAAGAGCAGAGGAGTCATTCAAATACTAGGGGTGAAGTCCTCACAGGAGGCAACACATATTTGCTGGACCAACAGATGCTCAGGAATAGATATAATTAGACAAAATGTAAAAGTACATTTAATTTGCTTATTCATGTGTATATAAGTATGAGCATGCCACTGTGCATGTGTGGAGATCAGAATTGGTTCCTTCCTTCCACCACATGGGGCCGAGGGATGCACCTCAGGTGATCAGGCTTGGTGACATGCACCTTTATCTGCTGAGTCATCTTTTTTTTTTTTGGTGTGTGTGTGTGTGTGTGTGTGTGTGTGTGTGTGTGTGTGTGTGTACGTACAGAATCTCACTATGTAGTCTTCAATGGCCTGGAACTCACTAAGCAGACCAGGCTTGTCTTGAACTCTCAGAGATCTGTCTGCCTCTGACTCCCAAGTGCTGGGATTAAAAGTGTGAGCCACCATGCCTGGCTACTACTGAGCCATCTTGTCAGCCCTTAGTGTAATTTTCTTTTGGAGACAGGGTCAGGCTATATAGCTCAGGTTGGTCTCAGTCTCCAGAGTGCTGGGACTGGATTTTATTTATTTTATGTGTATGAGTGTTTGCTGTAGAGGCCGGAAGAGGGCATTAGATCCCCTATGACTGTTATGGACAGTTGCGAACTGTCAAGTGGGTATTAGGAATCCCCAGTCCTCTGCAAGAGCAACAAGTGTTCTTAACTGCTGAGCCGTCTCTCCAGCCCGTTTTTATTTTGAGAAAGGATTAATTGATATGATCGTTAGGCCGGGCTGGAACTTACAATCCTCCAGCCTCAACCTCTCAATTAGCTGGGGTGATAGGTGTGTCACACACTGACTGCTTTTATTATTAATTAAGGTACTTAGAACAATGCCAGGCCCACAGCAGCAGCCCAGCAGTGAGTGGGGATGAGCCAATAGAAAGGAAGAGGCAAGAGCAGTCTGTGTCTCTGGGACAAAGGGGCCTGAGTATCTCCCTCCCTTTCAGCCCCTGCTCCTAGCCTGTTTAGGCATTCCAGTTATGCAGTCATGCTGGGACAAGAGCCAAGCTTGAGAAGTACCTTTCCAAGGGTAGGAGGTGCCATGGAAGGCTCTCCAATAACCATAAAGCACCGCTGGCCCTGGGCTGCTCTGGGTGGCTCTCTGGATTCCAGAAACTGTGCTGGGGGTGGGCTCAGCATCACACTGCTTCCACAAGCCCTGGTTCTGTCAGGCCCTTCAGGATCATGTTCATCCCCAGAGCTGGAGAAGGGCACAGATGGCCATCTCACAGCCACCCGCCCCGCGGCAGCCTGACCCAGTCTATTTTTGGATCTGGGGGGTGCTCGGTTTTGCTTCTGAGATCCCTGTGCAGCAGGAATTTGTATTTATAGCCTGAGAAAGGCTGTTTGGGCTGTGGATTCTAGAACACTCAAGGCTCCTGTCTGAGACCTGCACACTTCTTGGGGGACAGAGCGGTGCCAGAGAAAATGAGCACCAGGAGGGAGGTGCTGGTCCCAGTGTCAGCGAGGAACACTTGAGGACCTGGGCAGTGACGCTCAGAGTGCTTGTGTCCATCATCTCATCAAGCTGACAGGAAGTGCTGCTGCAATCTTTCCGAGGCTGAAGGAACAGAGACCACCTCCCTAACATCCTGTGCTGGTGGGAGGTGGCACGGGGTGGCCTGTGTCACAATGAGTTCGGAGACACTGGCCCTCACCTATCTGATCTGCTCATGGGGTTCTTCCACCAAGCACTGTATGGTACTGGGCAGGTAACATAAGCCAGGGATGGATGCAGAGAGCAAAGCCCTGACTGTCAGGTAGAAAAGAGGAAGCAGCAGCCGGCTCTTCTGAAAAGATACGCTCAGAAGAGCTACTGATTTTTGTGGTAAAAAAGATGGGCAACCTGCTATGTTTGCTTGTAGCCAATTCATTAGAGACAGAGCCACCCTATGCTGGTCAAGCTCCAGTGACGTTTTCTCTCCATGTTAGTCCTGACATAAAAAAATACCAGGGGATGGGGTCTGTGCTGCCATGGCAGGAAAGCAGGACAGCATATTTCCCAGCTACTCGGCTTAGTCCTCTGGTGGCCAGGCAGCTAGGGTCCGAGGGGGCAGCCTGCACATCAGTACTCAGTGGTGAGAGCTGGAGCCCAGGCCAGGGATCTGATCCAGCCCTGCAGAGCCCCCAGCTTGTACGACAGCAAGACAGTTGCAATGATAACTAACGGACTCGCTGTGCTGCCGCAGGTCAGGGAAACCTCCAGAGACGGGTCATCCCCTCACCAGAGATGCTCAGGATGGCTAGGTTTTCCTGCTCTTGGAAATATAGATATGAGCTGGGCTCACGCTTTAGTCCCAGCACTCAGGAAGCAGAGGCAGGTGGATCTCTGAGTTTAAGGCCAGCCTGGTCTACAGAGTGAGTTTCAGGACAGCCAGCACTACACAGAGAAATCCTATCTTGAAAAACCAAAATAAATAAACAAACAAATAAATAAATAAAAAGGAAGAAAAGAAATATAGATAAGCCACCATACAGCTGCTTTTTAAAAGGCCACTAGGGCTGGAGAGCTGGCTCAGCAGTTAAGAGCACTGACTGTTCTTCCAGAGGACCCAGGTTCAATTCCCAACACTCACATGGCAGCTCACAACTGTCTGCAACTCCCAGATCTGAGAACCTCACATAGGCATACATGAAGGCAAAGCACCAATGCAAATAAAATAAATACAAATAATTTTTTTTTTTTAAAAAAAAAAAAAGGCCACTAAACACAGTCATAGGAAGTTGTTTTCATGATTTGGGACTCTCCCTGGGTGCTGGGCTCAGCATGGGGTTTGTGGAGCCAGCCATTCACAGAACAGAAGAGAAGAAACGGTCAGGTGAGGCAGGGGTGAACACTCACTAACCCTGCTACATACTGCCCTCAGGAAACTCAGAGCCAAGTGGTAGACAGAGGTCTACACCAAAATAGCTAGAGACCCTGGGGCATCAGATCTGGGCCTGTAAACTGAAATGTGCTGCCAAACTCCAGCCCCGAGCGAGCAGGCACTTCCTCTCCCATAAGGGGGACCCCCTGCTGTTAGTAGTACCAGGAATCTTTCGTGGAAACAACCCAGGGAACAACCCAGTAGGGAAGTGGCTCTGCACAACATCTCTCTGCCCCTGGGCCCCACCCCCACACCCCTTCTTCCTCTCATGTGTCATATGATTTAGCTTTGCTTAGGGCAGGAAGTCAGTAGAGACAAGAGGAGATAGGACAAGCAAGGGTGGCTTGCGCTATGCAAAGCAGCCTGGGCCTGTCTTCATGCCCCATCATGGGCAGTACCCCTTTCTGCCCACCCTCATCCTCCTAGTCTCTCTCTCTCATCTCCCCACTTCCTGTTTGGTTTTTAGGTCAGGTGGTGTGCCCATGGTGTCTGTGAAGGCTTTCGGGGGAATTCTCGGGGATAGTTCACAGCCAGGAGAGACACAGGAGCACTGGTGGAGTGTAGCGAAGGAGTCAGTCCTCCATCTCAGGAGGCGGCTCTGGCTTTATCTATGGCTACAATACAGAAGCCAAGTGTTTACATGAGGCCTGCATCTTCTGTGAAGGACATGTGTGAAGTCCCAAAACCTGGATCCAATGCTCAGAGAAGGACTGTCTTAAGTCCAGAATGGAATACCAGCTGCTTTATAGCCCTTTTCAGAACACTTAGGTCCATGATGACATACATTTAGCCTTTTGGGGGTGGGGTGGTTTTGGGGATGTCAAGATAGGGTTTTTCTGTGTAGTCTGGCTGTCCTGGAACTTGCTCTGTAGACCAGGCTGGCCTCAAACTCAGAGCTCTGCCTGCCTCTGCCTCCTGAGTGCTGGGATTAAAGGTGTGAGCCACCACTGCCTGGCTAACACTTACTTTCTTATCCCAAAGATTTTTGTTTTAAATCATAAACATCATTATGGGCATTTAAACATAACTTCTCAAATGGAACCAGCTAGCTATTTTACTTATCCAGAATTGGATGGGAAAGAAACCTGTTAACAGAGTCTAGCACCCCAACAGGTGTCTTGGTGGTGGTACCATCTAGAATGGATGCTAGGAAAGAAAGGGGTGGGGGAGAGATGACTGATTCTCTACTACCTGCTCCACAGTATTCAGAGCGACTGGCACCTTTGTGGTCACCAAGAGTCTCAATGCTGTCACTATTGATCAAGGGTAATGTGAATACGAACAAAACTCCTATTGTTCAGGACAGAGAAGAGACATTGGAAGGGGACAGCCGGGACACAGGCGTGGAGAGAGCTGGGCAGTCCCCTAGCTGGGCTACGATGAGGACACTGCAAGCAGCTCCGGGAGGGAGGCAGAACCTGGGAAGAGAGAACCTTGGAGGGAGAGTCTAGGACAGGAAGAAGGGCCTGGTGCCACATCTGAAGGCTCAGGTAGCTTGGCAGCTTGGGAAGGCAGGGAGGCTACCTCTCAAACACAGTCCACAGCAGGCCCACGGTGAGATGAGGCCACGGTGAGGAGGACCAGGCAGCCGCGGCCTCTTGCGCCTCAGCGAAGGCTACTCCTGGCTTCCCACATTTCCTGCTTTAGTCTCCTCGCTCCTCACGCCTTTCTTGCCAGGCAGGTTTTAATGACCCTGAAGACATACAATTGTCTTGGCTGCTATTCAGGTCTCTGTGAGTGATGCATGCATCAGGCAAGCACGGGAGGCTGTGAGCTGGAGGCTTACACTGCCTAGCAGCTAAGGCTGCAGCTCACTTAGGGACCAACTCTCAGGCTCAGCCAACACCAAGGGCCGTGCCCAACAAAGGACAGCTGGGCCCTGGCTTTTCCTGTCCTAAGGACACACGGGATAGCTGGTACTGCCACTGCTCTTTAGACGCCCCCTCCCCCGCCCCCGAGATAGCAGACCCTGTGCTTATGCTCCAGATGGCTCTTCAGAATGACTCCTGGGCTTCCTGCTCACCATCCCTTCAGCAAGGTCCTGGGTTTGCAACATGTTTGACTTCTTTCCTTGTCTTCAGCGGTCTCAGACATCAACTGTCCTTGGATACCGATCAACTTCTTTCTCTCCCCATGTCTTTCTACTGTGACTCCCGAGGCCATTGACACCTTGGCTTAGCCCAGTCTCTCTTAGCTTCTCCGACTGTGCCTACTGAGCCATGAGCCCCTCTCGGGCATGCGGCTACCCATTTCTATCCTTCTTGTCGCTAACCCATCCCTGCTCTCATCACAGTGTGGAACCCCATGTCTAGGCTCGTCTTAGAATTAAGCAGAGACTGTGAAGAGCTGGTATGACACTAAATCATTCCCTTGGGTCCTACCTATCAGGTGACACACACTCCAAGCATTACCATTACTCATGGTTCCTTTTATTGAAACAACGCATCCTTTTAGTGTGCCCCTTGGACTCTTTCCTGGAGCTGCAACTAAGAATACAGAGTCACAAATGCAAGATGCCTCAACATTCCACAATGGTGACACACTCAGACCCAAATCCAAGAAAATGCCCTTGAATGTTCTGCAGTTCTGTAGCAAACAGCTCAGTTCATTCACAGTCCTCTGCTAACAGCCAAGAAGGAGTAAGTAGAAACTCCTAGTTGTGTGTGTGTGTGTGTGTGTGTGTGTGTGTGTGTGTGTGTGTGTGTGTGTAACAGTCAAGGGCTAGGATTGTCTAAAACCAAGTTCTCCAAGGTCGGGGGAGGGAACGTGCTAGAGGTGCCTTCTGAGGAGCAGGCTATCTGTGTGGCAGGGCAGAGGTAACTCATCCTGTCCCACTGTGATACCCAGCACTTCTGAGCACCATGAGAAAGGAGGTTCCACACTACAAGGTCTTCCTGGAGGCCCTGGGCATTGAACTGCCAACCCTAGACAAAGGCGGACACCAGACAAAACAGCTGGGAACCGGGCAAGTTTTACAGTCATCTATCCAAGCTTTCCACTGGGGAAGTGAGAGGTGGGTGGGCGGAGTCATCACTTTACTCCTGGGCATAGGATGAGAAGCAGGACAAGACTAGAGCCCAGAACTCAAGATGCGCAGTGATACAGCTGCCAAGCTTCCCATGTATGTGGGGTGCTTCATGTGATTTGATCCGGTTCTCTCAATCACACTGGGATTCCCAAGAAGACTCTGAGGCCCAGAAAGAAGTCAATACTTGAGCTCAAGCTGCTTTTAAGGGTAGTGAGCTTGGCTCCATTCTTTCCCTTTGGCTCTGGGGCAGATGGAGACTCCAGAAGGCTAGGCCTCTTTGTGTGTTACCACAGAGCTGTCTACGGATTGGTCTAGCCCTCCCTACGCTGGCCTGTGTCAAGGCGACAGGCAGTACCTCCCTTCAGGAGCAGGGTCTCCTTCCCCTTGCCCCCAACAAGTGATCCTTGTGACCCCACTGAGTGGCTGCCCCGTGGTGGCTCTGTGTCGGTTCTGAGCTTCGGCCACAGGGTACCTGATGCTTTTCCATTTGTTACCTTGGAACCCTGCCAGCTGCTACAAGAACAAGCCTAGACCAGCAGCCTGGCAGTGGTGACAAACTAGCCCAACTGTCCCACTCAGGTCCCAAAGATGTCTGCCTGCCTGGGCAGATTAGCAAACCATCCTCCTAATCTGAGTCCCCAGCAAAAACAAAGGGTTACTGCTTTAAGCCATAGGACTCTGGCTGTTCCCACCGCACGAGGTAAGCAAAGGCACCATCGCCCCTGCACCCAGTTACCGGCTTTCTGTGTGAGGAGCACTCCCTTGAACCCAGCCCTGGGAAAACGGAACACAAAACCAGAAGCGGCTGCGCTCCGTGGCAGTGTCACGCTCACGCCGTCACCCCACACCACCCCCAACCACACGCCAAGGCCCAGGGGATCAAGCGTTCAGATTCTCTCCTGTGGACAGCAGGGGATGGGCTGCACCACTGTCCGGGGGCACGGCTTCCAGATTAACTGCACGAGTCTCCAAGGAGGAAGAGCAGGAAGGAGGACTCACCGAGGGCACAGGCAAGCTGCCGTGCCGGTTGAGAAAGGAGTTAGACACGGAGACACTGAGGCCCTGAGCGGCACTGCCGTCCTCGGGGGTGAAGGCCACTTTAGTTTGCTGGACACAGTAGGAGACAGAGAAGGAAGAAGCAGCATAGGAGGCCTGCTGGGCAGGGGTGGAAGAAGGAGGGAGGAGGAGAAAGCAGAGACGGTCAGCATAGGAATGGTCAGCATAGGCAGCAGAGCTGTGCGGCTAATACTGCCGAGGGGTGTCCTGCAAAGGGGGGCTGCCTGACTCCACCAAAGGCTGCCTAAACGAGAGGCCCTGTTCTTCTGCCTCATGACAGATTCTAATACCATCTTTCAGAAAGACTGCAGAGGACAAGTGGGCCGCAGCCACACAGGCTTGGGCTGACCCAGGACTCTGAGCTCTTCAGAGTGGTCATTCTGGCCTCAGAGCTCAGAGCCGAGTCAGTTTACCTGGGCTTTAACCTGGGCCCCATCAGAGACCACCCACTAGCTGTGGGCTTTTCTGTGTAACAGTCCTGGTGGTCTTGAATCGCTCCGTAGACCAGGCTGGCCTTAAACTCAGAGATCTGGCTGCCTCCACCTCCGGAGTGCTGGCATTCAAGGTGTGCGCCACCACTGCCCGGCTTGGGCATTTCTAAGAGAGCTTGGTGGCCAGGGTCTTCCTTTGAAACTGTGGCGAACTCTTGCACTTTCTGAGTACATTTGGGGGAAGATTAATGAAGTGCCATGTACACAGCACTGTGAGTCCTGTCTATTGCTGTAAGTGTAATTGCTACCACACTTGTGTGTAAGAGGTGCTCAGCTCCTGTATGTGTGCTGGAGACAGGACATAACCAGCAACTGGCACAGCCTGTCCTGTGGTAGGCCAGGGCTCACCTGGAGCTGGCCTTGGAGTTCTAGGTCTTTGGATAGCTGTGGCCTGGGGATAAGTTCTAGTTCCCAGCCTCTCTTTACTCACAGTTCAGACATGGTGAAGGCTGTGTGCACCTGAACCTGCCTGGGGAGGTCCCTAACTGGCTGATCTCTCCCCAGCCCGCTGCATGGTGGGACAGGCAGCCTCTTGTTACACCCCTGGAATGGTTCTGTTTCACACGCATGTGAGGAGTCTGCCTCTAGCTGTTCAGAGGCTGTGGACTTTTCAGCATAGAGATGCCCAGAGGTCACGGAGGGGCAGCCTCAGGAAGGACTGCTCAGCAGTGTGTGTCCCAGGCACACATTTCTAGTCTCATAAAGACGACCTTCTGGGAAACAAGTGCAGAGTGGTTTAGAGTCCCAGGTGGTACCATGGACAGGGCTGAGACACCAGGTTCCCAGAGCCCAGCTCAGCCTTCCATCTCTGTAAGAGGCTGCCTCTCTCAGGCTGAGAGCTTCTGAGAAGAAGCAAATGCCTACTGAGCTGACTGGCTATGACCTGCAAAGGCTGAACAGCTCAGAAGCCCGAGGCTAGGCCAAGCCCCAGGCACTACAAGGTAAACAGGGCTTATTTCCTCTCACAAAGCACAGGAAAAAAGGGCTTAGCTTGCCAGGCATGTCTCTTCTCTAGCCAGAAACTGGACTGGCCAGCAAGGTAGCAAAGCTGCCCACACAGCTCTGCAAAGGTAAGACTTCCGCTCTGCAGCCTGGCTGGACCAGGGCCTCGGCCCCCGAAGCCCAGTGTGTAGCAGCAGCAAGGAGAAGAAGCCCTGCCAGGTTCAGTGCTCTGCCAGCGGGTGAGTGTGCAAGCCGGGCAGGAGCCATCACAGAGGTGTGCAAAGGAGGACGCTGCTGCGTTTGGAGCACAAAGTGGCTCTGTCTGAAGCCATCCTGCTTCAGTGGAACTTGTTCCCATGGGGCCATCCCTGGCCAGGACTGGGATGGAAGTCATTCCATACAGTTAGGCCCATTATGGAAGTCAAGTCCACAGATGGCTGCACACAGACAGCGCTCTGTGCTTTGATTGAGTCCCTCCTGTCTATGAGGTCTATGTGAGAGCCACAGAAGAAAGGGAAGACACAGAGACTGTCAGCAGAGAAATCAAACATTCTGAGCACAAGTCTGTCCCGGCTACACAGGCTGCTCTGGAGGAGACCCTCTGCCCCCGGGTGAGAAGCTGGCAGTGTGGGACAGGCTGCTCTGAGTATCTGGGGAGGAAGTGGAGGCACCATGTGGGAGACGGACTTGAACACACCTAATGGATGAGAGGCAGGTTCAGCCTGGCCCCAGCAGGACTGCTCCAGTTTTGGAAGCCCTGGTCACCCACAGCAGTGCCAAGGACACAGATGGGGAACTGCTTACCAGCTGCCGCTGCTTGGGGGGCAGGGCGGGAGGGGGGGCCAGCTCCTGTGTGGAGTCGCTGCTGCAGAAAGAGTCGCTGAAGCCATAGACCTCCATGAGCATCTTGTTCTTTTGCTGGTAAATGTGCTCACTCTGCGGTGTCTGGTAGAACATGGATGGTTGTGGCTCTGAGTAGTCCTCTAGCAGCTGCATGTAGGCCAGCACTGTGGACAGAGGGGGCTGCTGTTCTCTCGCCAGAGTGGAGCCCACAGAGCCGCCCCGCCCCGCCCCCACCGGCTCTCAGGCTACAGGGAGAGCTCCGGGCCTCGCGGAGCAGGGATGCTACTCTGGGTGCTACTACAAAGGTGGACATGTGCCATCACCCAGCTGGACACGCTCACAGACCCCTCCTGTGCATGGCGGGCTCGGGGTGTGAGGACTGTCAGCTAGCTTCTTCCACTGTAACAGATGCCCCACTCGGCCCGGGGTATCGACACTGGGGAGGTTTTGTACTTTCCACTCAGTGTTGTTGTGAGCCTAAAACAGCTCTACAACCATAAAGATCTGCTAAAGAAAGCACAAGGGCACTCTGCACCCTTCCTGCAGAGGTGCTGGGGGTTTCCATGCTCAGCAATACCCAAGGCTCTGAAGGGCTGTTCAGCCTCCGCCTGCCCTTGGGGTCAGCCTCGGCTGGATTCTCTTGTCAGAGATTGAACACACATGAGGCTCCTGATGTTTCCAAGTCCTCCCTTAACCTACGGTGTGTGCATGGGGGGGGGGGTCCTCATCCACAGTTTCCCTCTCAACTCCCCTACAGTTTGTACACTTTATGTTTGTAGTGTGGCCTTTCCTCACTCACTGTTCACTGAGAATAGTGTACTGTACACGCAGGCTCAGGCTCAGGTGCTGGGACTGCATGGGGCCAGCAAGGTGGACCCTCTGCCTTATGGGGTTCACACTGTCACCGGAGCAACAGAACATAGACACACAGATGGCGTAGCAGCCCTACAGACAAAGACGAAGTGTGGTGGCTGAAGGGTCGTACTCTTGACTATGGAAGAATGGCAAGATGGGACAGGTCTTCTACCACAGTCCACAGGTGATGATACGAAGGCCCCGGAACGGGGGGAGTGCAGAGTGGGCAGAGCACAGAGTGCAGAAGACCAGGGAAGAGAGGCTGGGCTGTACTCCAGAGAGGCTGCTTGCAGGAGGCTTTATTCCAAGCATGGGGAAAGCACACTGCAGGCTCCACTTGGGAGTATCGAGGCCTGACCCACAGTAACTTGAAATGATTCTAAGTCTGGTCAGTGATGAGCAAGAAGACAGAGGAGCTGCAGTGGGAGACGGTGATGCAGAAACAGGACAACAGAAAATAGACAGAGCAGGGCGGAGGTGGTGCATGGCTGTAATCCCGGCACTTGGGGGGTACAGGCAGTGGATCTCTGAGTTCAGGGCCAGGCTACACAGAGAAACCCTGTCTCAAAAACAAAAACAAACAAACAAACAAAAGATGGAGGAGGATTTACTGCCTTTCTCTTAAGGGCTAGCTCTAACAGGGCAGGGGCCATGTTTGATTTGTCCAAAAAAATTTGTAGAATGGGTGAATGAGACACGGCCCCAGCAAGTCCCTCTAGGGACTTGTTAGCTCAATGGCTTCCTTCCTAGCTGAAGGGCTGCAAGCAGAGCAGCAAGCGGACAGAGGGGGAGAGAGAGAGCACACAAATGCTAGCTGAGCATCTTCTCTGCACATGGAGGCTAAGCTGATGTCTCTAGCAGGGCTGCCTGTCACAGCCTGTCTGCTTGGCAATGCTGTCACAGCCTCTCTGCCTCAGCACGGTGGCAGCCAACAGCAGCAGGGACCTCATGTGCCTGGGGAGTTGAGAGGCCAGAGAATCAAAGCTCAGCTGTCACATCACATGCTCTCCTCATCCTTGCAGGCACCGCTCCACACAGCGGGTGGAGGCCCTTCAACCTCACATGGAGAGTCAGTGAGGGCTGTGTTCCTCAGTACCTGGGTCCCACTGTCTACAGAGCTAGAGAGTCTGGGAAAGGGGCTGGAACATTCTGCCTAGGGGCCTGAATCATCTCTACCCTAGGCACTGGAATCATCCCTACATACATGGAAGGGATGGCAGAGAGAGGACATAGTTGGCGCTTTGAGACCTGGTTAGGGCTGAGTATCAATTAACTCACTCATAGAGAAAGCAAGAACGACAGCTGTGAAGTAGACCAAAGGACCTAAGTCAATGTGTGGCAGACACAGGGACACAGCCTTCTGCATCTTCCAGGCAGAAGTATAACTTAGGTTATACCCCAAGTGCCAGGAGCATCTGCTCTGTAATGCAGGCATTTTTCTGAAAACCAGGGTTGGGGGCCTACTTGTCAGGAAGCAGAGGAAGCCAGCCTGAGGCAGGGAGTGCATGTGGGACCTAGGGTGTTGGCAAAAGTGCTCTCTTGGCAGGTCCTCCTGATGTCCTTGCTGAAAAGAAGGCTGCCGTGTTTATATCACAGAATACAAAAGAACCTGTCGGCTCTGCTGTGCACTGACAGAACAGGGCTGTGCTCCCATGACTGAACATGGAAGAGAAGTGCTCCCACTGCCTCTGAAGCCCCACAGTGCTGCTGCTGTACCCTTGTCAATCACAGCCTGGGCTGCCCCTGGCCCCACCACTGCTTTTCCAGAGGGGCCAAGCAACCCCCTCTACCCAACATGCCATCAAACTGGGGCTCCCCAGGCTTTTGGGAATCGCTGATGGTGAGGTCCTGGTAGAGACCTGCTAGCTACACACAAAAGAATAGCATTGAGGTTCAGCCTCCCAGAACTAGGAAACAGTTCCTTTCCAGATTGGGCAATAGCTCAGATGCCAGAGCAGCTCACAAGGCTAGGAATGCTTGGCTGCAGGCACTTCTTCAGGCACCTGGGCTCTGGGGACATCAGGGGTCCCACAGTACTCAGGCGCTCCTATGGGCTTCTCTTAACAGGGAGAGCCAGGGCCCATCATGATGTCAGGGCATCCTTCTCAATGAAGACGTATTCTGACATCAGAACTGCCCATGTATGAGCTTGCTTTAGAGGTACCAGATACAAGGGATGACAATTATTCTTCCCCCCAAAGCAGTTCTGTGAAGCTTCCCACCCACTCACAGGTGGGATGCTCCAACAGTTCCCTCAGGGAGTGAAGGGCAGACTCTGGATCAGGACAGAGTCAGGGTGCTTCAAGTTCCAGGCTCTTTCACTGAATGAAGAAAAATGACCCCTGCATGGGGCGAGGGGGGGCATGGGACCTCTATCTGAGAACAGTGGGTCTAAGGACAGAGGGCAAAGCCCATCTTTCTGGGCTAGGATATGTTCAGACCCCAGCCAGGCTCGAACCCCATACTGCCTCTCATTCGGCATCCGAGACCTGGCCTGGAGAACTAAGGACAGAAGTTTTTGCTCAGAGCCACTCTCTTGGTGTTCTAAGGGATCTAGTCACAGCAGGATGGAGCTTCAGTCACTCTCAAACCACAAAACAACCATTTCAGCCATGTGGGACTTGAGATTGACAGAAACAATGGCCTTGCCTCCTCCTGTCTGCCACTTCCCTCTCTGCAGGCTCTGCCTGGGGGGCTCGGCCCACACTTGTTCTAAGAGCTACAAACAGGAGGAGGCTTCCTGGCTGGGCAGCATCACCTACCCGGTACACTTTACCAGACACACTCCTAGTCCACTTGACCCTTTGATGAGGAAGATCCCCACCCACCTCACCCCCGCACAGTGCTCTGGTACAGTGGGCGGAAGGAGAGGCGCAGAAAGATCTCTTCCCAACTGCTGCGTGTCTTCTCAGCAGAGCTTACAAGACAGATGGAATGACATCATTAGCTTGCAGACCTGCCCTCTCTCTTAGCTGGGGACCACCCCACCATGGCTAGCACAAAGCTGTGAGACATCCTGGGTGTGGGGGGTGTGGTTACAAACTAGGCTTGCTGGTTTAATAAGGCAGGTCTTCCTTTGGGGAGTGGAGTTAGAAGTGCAATACCCAGTTTTAGTTAGGTCTTCTTGCTGGATCTGTACCAAGGTAAGGGGACTGTCAGGCTGTGCAGCTGATGTGGCCACACACATCAAAACAGGGACATCTGGTCTGCCAGGGAAAATCTGAAGCCAGTGTTAGTGAGGAGGAGAGGGAAGGAGGGGCAGTGTGGCCTGCAAGTCTCCCATGTGGAGCAGCTGGGGAGGGAGGAGAAAAGATGGAATGTCCAGAATGTTACTTAGTAATGCTATGGCAAACTTACAGTTGAAAACCATCCAAAACACACAGTCCACCTTCCAGACCCAGCCAGCCCAGTGACAGCCATCCACTAAAACATCTAGGCCAGGAGCTGACCTCAGCCCTCCAGCCAGCCAGCTCTGATCCAGGTCACTGTGAGCACCCTGTCCATGCTCAGGACATCCCTCCCAGGGTTAGCAAAGCTCTGAGTGTACTCAAATGTCATTTTCATGTGCATGTTACAGCAATGCTGCTCTGGGTGCCACCACACACTCAGTTGCCTTTGTCATTGTGTGTTCAGGCCAAAAGGGTCAATGAATTGCATCTACAGAAGAGAGACACTTGGGGACATCAGGCCCATGATTTCGAAGACCACAATGGAGAGATGAACTAATTAAGACTTTCGAGGACCATGACTGAGAACACCCACACGTGTACCTATGAGCCTATCCTATAGGAAAGAATGAGGCATGGGCTTGGCTTTGGTCTCATGCTTGGGCTAAGCAAAACACAGAACTTTTTAGGCTTACAAAATGTGCTTGCAGAGTGTGCAGAGAACTTACTGTGTTTGTTTTTCTTCTCTGGCAGAGGAGGTGGCTTCTCTGGGTCACCCACTGACTCAGGAGCACTGAAATCACCCACAAACTCAACAGGGGCTGAGGAAGTTCCCTGCTGAAAGGGAAGGACAGCAGCAAAGGGCGTGTAGGGCACAGGCTGGACTGGGACGGGGTTCTGCAGATCATCTTCTGAGATGTTGTCATACTGTGAAGGGTGTCGTTCATAGGACACCCTGCAGCCAGAGCTGTCCGTGGTCTGGGAGGCGGCGCTCCTGCGCTTCTTCTCAGGAAGGGCAGGTGGAGTGTCTGTCTGCTGCCCCTCCTGCTGGGGACAGCTGCCCAGAGGCAGCTGGAAAGGATGGCCAAGAAATGGTGGCCCAGCCTCCCCCAGGGACTCCGGTAGTGGGCTGAGGCTGCAGGCCATCTGTGGAGGGGTCTGGTCTGCGTTGGAGAGGTCTTGCTGGAGGAATTCATAGTCGGGGTCATAGTGATCTGCAAACCAAACAAACAAAAAAAAAACCCCTTAGCTGCAAGCCTCCGGAACATCACCCACTGCTCTGCTCAGAGTCCTCACAGAGGACAGGGGTATGCTTGATCCCTCCTGGGGGCTTCTACTTAACTAACTGGATATTCTTTTTTTTTTCCTTTTGATAAAGATTTCTTTGTTTATTATGTATACAGTGTTTCTGTCTGCATGCATGCCTGCACACCAGAAGAGGGCACCAGCTCTCAACTATAGATGGTTGTGAGCCATCATGTGGTTTCTGGGAATTGAATTCAGGACCTCTGGAAGAACAGTCAATGCTCTTAACTTCTGAGCCATCTCTCCAGCACTGAATATTCTTTTTTTTTTTTTTTTTAAATTATTTAATTTTATTTCATGTGCATTGGTGTTTTGCCTGCATGAGGGTATTGGATTCCCTGGAGTTACAGACAGTTGGGAGCTGCTATATGGGTGCTGTACAAGTTAGAGGTAGCGAGACGGCTGTGTGCTATATTGGTCTCTCTGTCTTTGTACTTCGATACATGCACACACATAAATATGAAATATGGCTTTTTTGGGGAGTGGTTTTTGGGGATGGAACCCAAGGTTTTGTAAGTAACCAACTAGTAACTAACTTGGTTACTTACAAAATAAAACACACATGACTACCGAAGAAAAATGGCAGATGATCATGAAAAATAGAACTCAGAGCTGGCCATCAGAAGTTACATCTTGATGTATTTTCTTAAAAGTTTTTTTTTTTTTTGGTTGTGTGTGTGTGTGTGTGTGTGCATGCATGTGTTTCCGAGACAGGGTTTCTTTGTGTAGCCCTGCCTGTCCTGGAACTCACTTTATAGACCAGATTGGCCTCAAACTCACAGAGATCTGCCTGCCTCTGCCCCTCTGCTCCCAGTGCTGGGATAAAAGGCATGAGCCATCACTGCCCAGCAAAAGTTCTTAAAGTTTCTTTTTTTTCCCCACAACCCTATCTCTACATTTTATTTTTTGCTTATTTGTTTTTAAGACATGGTTTCACTATGATATAGCCCTGGCTGGCTTGAGACTTTCTCTGTAGACCAAGCTGGCCTAGAACTTATAAAAATCTTCTTGCCTCTGCCTCCCAAGTACAGGAATGTGCCACCCTCTTCCCATCCTTTTTTTTTTTTTTTTTTTTTTTTTGTTTTTTCGAGACAGGGTTTCTCTGTGTAGCTTTGCGCCTTTCCTGGGACTCACTTGGTAGTCCAGGCTGGCCTCGAACTCACAGAGATCCACCTGGCTCTGCCTCCCAAGTGCTGGGATTAAAGGCGTGCGCCACCACCGCCCGGCTCCCATCCTTTTTAATCTAACTAAGAAAGCAGCATGTCATTGATCTTAGAGTTTGTCCATGCACCAACACCCGTAAGTGACTTTCACCAGCTACAGGCGATTCTGTCAGAGCAATGTCCCCCATTCATCTGACCCCACTAGTGACTCCCATCAGGGTCTCCAGATTATCATCAGTTAATTCTTTGTAGGTTAGCCTTCTCAGACAGGAGCCTTGCCAACAATCTCTCCTTTCTGCTTAGGGCACTTTCTCAGAGGGGAAAGGATCTAGTTCCAGGACACAAACAGGTTGGTACTGGCAAGCCCCGCCAAGTAGTCCTGCTGCCCTTGGTCACTGGTGCTCAACAAGGATAGGGAGGCTGCTTGATGCTTTCAACCCTGCAAGTCCCTTCAGTAGCTCCCTCCCTCCCTGTCAGCCCTATCTGCACATGGACTGAGTCAGGATGTACACTGCCAGGCTACCTGTGAGGAGGGTGCTCCCTGAGCATCTGCTGTGTGACTCTGCACTGTGATTGCATATATACTTTCAGCCTCTTCCAGAGTAGACACCATCCTCATTTTGCAGATGAGGCTTGGATTTTTCACCCAGCTAATGCTTAGAATTCAGCTGACTCAGGCCCAGAATCAAAGGACCCAGGGATCTTTGGAGAACGGAGAGGGCTGTGGTGGCTTACCTAGTGTTTCACAGCTTGTGTTCCGTGAGCACTGCCCACTATCCCTGTCTAGGGAGGACAGCTGCTCGTCTGACCGGCTGAGTTTGCCTGTGCTGCTGCAGGGGGACAAGCGAGGAGACTCACCACCGCAGGAGCGGCTGCCTCCTGACAGGCGCCTCTGGGTGTAACAGTCAACATCAAAGTCCTAGAGAAGAATGCAAAGGAGCCTCAGTCATCCTTGGGAAAGGCAGCAGGGACCAGGGACAGGCAACTGGCAGGCCTAATGGCTCAAAGGCCACCTCCGATGGCCGCGTAGGATCTGGATGAGACAGGGAACGAACTGGGAGGAGTGTGGGAGTGTGTGGACGGGGATGTCCTTGGGAGATGCCCAAGGTGTGTCCACTGCCCGTGTCATCGGGGTTGGGGGGATGGTCATGGATTGCCCTCCCACAAGCCCCTGGATGTGACTAACGGTGGGTCTAAAGATTACCAGGTGACTTTCAGCTTTAGGACTCTATCCCCAAACCCCAATTCCAGTCCCCCTCCCCAACAGAAAATGGACTGCATTACCTGCCTATTGATTCCAACAGGCAGACTGGAGCCGCTGGTAGCTCGACTCATAGGGGCTACCACAGCCACGCGGGTGGGGGATGGAGCTGACTGCCTTTTCTTGGGTGGCAATGCTGGTGGACTAGAAGAGACAGAAAGTCCAGGCAAACTGTACATCACAAACAAGAGTGCTTTAGAATGGTTCTAGGGAACAAGACATGAGTGAAGCTCCTCCTCCACAACTAATTTCCACACTTTAACTGCCTCCTGTTCTCCTCTTGCCAATCACTGTATCAACGCCAAAAGAACACAACCCCAAAAGATTCTTTTCCTTCCATAGTAAATCATGCCTGGTTTCAATGGATAGAGAACAAGACAAGCTTAAATAGCACAGAGCCTGTGCAAGGGCCCTGGGGCAAAGCCTGACCACCTTCAGAGATACTCCTCTCTCAACAGTGCCAAGCCACTGGCGCGTTTAAGGGGCCAGAGTCTCACCCCAAGCACATCATCACCCTTGGCTCATTCTACCAGCTTCTCCCCACATTAGGTACAAATGGGAGCGCTAGAAAAAAATCTCCTCAGAAAGAGTTTAGGATAATTACCTGTTATCAACCACCCGAATGCCAGGTAAGGGGGGTTTGGGGGGTGCGACCTCTTCACTAGTGGAGTCTGGGAGCAGTTCAGTGGACGGTGACACACCTGTTGTCGTCTTGTTCAGAATCTCCATTTCTCGGTCTGTCAGCGGGAGCTCAGGGTGGCTGGAGAAACGGAAAGAGCGAGGCTCACACACAGTCAGAGTGCATGCAGGTCCTGGGAGTGAGAGCGAGGGCTAGGGGGATGATGGGGCTGAGGAGGAGCTCCACGAATAGTTCTGAGGTTCCCACAGAGTTTTATCACTGACCAGCTACCAGACTGCTCTAAAATAACGTGTCACATTTTTAACATGGGCCAGTCCTTGAAACTAATGCAAAACAGTAAGGTTGTCCTCATCTTACTCAGAAAACATTTTGGCACTGGCCTCGGAGTTTGTCCATGTATCAACATCCCATTGACTGAGTTATATTAAATAATCCAAGATTTCCCACAACCCCTCACCCAAGGTCCTAGGAGGAGTTCATGGTGCAGTGCCAGGAAGCAGAGGACAAAGAACAGGCAGTCACTTTCTTTCGTACACTCTTGCGCAGCTGAACTTGTAAAGTGCAAGGCAATACTTTGAAACTTATACGGAATATAGGCCTTAAAGCATCATCAGGTACTCACCAAAACTTATGCCTGGAAAGGGAACCAGGGCTGCCCACAGCCGCTCAAATGCTCCCCGACTGCCTGGCTCCCATCTTTTGCTAAAGCGTGGGCTTGGTCCTACTGAGACCTCAGTGACATAAGTCTGCTCAGACTTACCCATCAGGCTTGCTGGCTGGGGAACTGGGCTTCACCGGGCTTGTTGGTGATGGCCGCCCCTGCTTCTCAATGGTCAGCCTCACTAGCTCCTGCACTCCACAAGAGAGAAAGGAAAGAGAGAGGGAGGGAAATGATACCACTGTACCTTTAGCAAGAGGCAGGACTTGCGAGTCCCGCTTTTGTGTCCACACATTTCTCAGGAAGGGTACCGTATACAGTTCCTAATGTGCCTCTTTCCCTCTAAAAATACCATCACAGCACACTGCAAAGCTTCAACTGCATCATACATTTCCTCTTGAAAGGAGAAATGGCAGTCTGGGTCTTTAGATGAACAGACCACTGCACACTTGGATTCCTGTGCAGTCTGGGGAGGGAGCAGAAGACAATTTTGGTTCCCCAAAGTTGTCATGTTATGTACAATGGTGCCCTTAGCCATCTGGTGTCTGGCTTTGAGTGTTTTCCCAAAGTGTACTGGCTCAGTTGAGGCAGGAACCGGAGCGCCAGTGGACTGGCTGGGAACCTTGTCAATGGTCATGTTAAAGGTCATGTGACTCAGCAGACAGCTGGTTTTGAAAGAAGATAAAAAATGGTACTTTGAAATAGCAGAAAAGAGTCTGATCAGGCTCCTAGAGATCACGGAGTAGGTGAGACTAGCTGGCCAGAGGGCTCTAGGGATCCACCTGTCTCTTGACTCCCTAGTGCTGGGATTACAATTATGGCCACCACACTTGGTTTTTCTATGCACTGTGGGGATTGAACTCAGGTCATGATTGTGCAGGAAGTACTTTATAGAATGAGCCACCAACTCCAGCTCCAGCTTTCAAAATCTTTGTGGAGACAACTCACGTACCACGAAATTCACCTACTCTAAGTGTGTGAGAACATGTGCAATCCTTAGCACATCAGCTTAAGGACAGAAGCTCTATACCTGCACTCTATACCTGCACTCTATACCTGCACGGTCCCCTCATTCTCCTGCCGCTCCTGGCCACTAGCACTCTATCCTTGGCTAGCCTGCACCCGCCTCAGCAATCCTCCTTCTTTTGCTTGAGTCAGCTGCCACCTTTTGGGGAGCCCGGGTTTGTTCCTTTCTACCGCTGAGCAGTGTTCTGGTCTATCGCTCCACACAATCTCCTCACTGCTCTCTAGCTGGTGAGCTTCTGGTGATGACCTATGGTCATGAGGGAAGAGCATGCCACCTCTGAGGACACAGAGGTGGGTCACCTAGCCACATCTCTTCAACCAGGGCTGAAGGACTAGCTTCTCCCAAAGCAGGCTCTTCAGACAACACAAAACTAGGAAAAAAGATGAACATACAAAAAGAAATATTAAAAAGGAATTTCACAAATGGGAAGGATGTCTCGATCATGAGAGCTTCTCAAGCTTGATGGCAACAAAACAGAGACTTGCAGACACAGAGCGGGGTGGGGTGGGTGGGGGGATGGGGTGGGGGTGGGTGGGACAGTGTCAGTGAGAATATGGGTCACTCTGGGCAGTGGACAATGGTCCAGTGCATGACCTACTGGCACATATCAAAAGCCTCAAATATTTGTAGGAGAATTTTGTCTGAGGAAAATGTCGTGGATATATGCAAAATCTCAGCTATGGAGGATGTCACCAGGGTAAAATGAGACTACTCAATACACTTAAATACTCACTACAAGTACCAAGCATGTAGATGTGACAGAACCCAACACTCTATAGTCAATAAGAAGGAAGTCACAGCAGGAACATGGCTCACAGCATGAAAAGACGGTGGAACAACGGGAATACCGGGTGCTGGAAAGCCCTACCTGCCTCGCTGGGGTACAATGTAAATTTTGAAAACAAGATCAACCCCGCCCCTTTTAAATTGTATCTTCTAAATTTTCTAAAACAGAACTAGATTAAGTCTGAGAAATTATCTCCAAGGAACCAGACCCAAGCTCCCCTCATTCTGTTCTTGGAGCCATGTGGGAAGTACGATCCTTGGGGGCCTGAGGCTAACACAGGAAGGAGGCCCTCTTCTACTTGTTCCCACGATTCAGAACTCTGAGGAGAGAAAGCAGCCAGAGGGAGGCTGCCTCCTCACCCACTGCCTGGGAGCACGGGACAGCAGCAGAGGCAGCGCACTCTGAAAGCCCCATAGCCTTGCCTGGGATCCAAGTGTCAGACCCAAGTGACTTGAAAGCTCCACATGCACGTAGTGTGGGCTGGCCTTGAACTCTCAACCCTTCTGCCTCAGCCTCGTGAGTGGGGGTATTGCAGACATGTGCTGACATGCTAAGCCAAACTCTTTCTAGCAAGCAGGACAAAAGAATACAGAGAAGTCTGTACTTTGTGTCTGCCAATAAAGAACACATTCCAGTTCCTCCTGACTAGGGAGCAGTTAGGGTGAGATGCTGTCCCCCTGGAAAGGCAGCTGTGACCTCATCTAATGAACAGAAGACAGCAAAAGGATCCAGAAGCACACATGTGCAAGTGTGACCCCAATTCTAAGACCACATCATGACACAGTGGAGGCTGGGAAAGGGGCAGGCAGCTTTTCTCTGCCAACCTTCCTGCCCAAACAGAAGGAAGGGCTTTGGTTTCAACTTGCCTGAATGATTACATACAGAAGGCTCCAGGAACCTCTAGCATCTAGGTAGCTTCCAATACTCTGATTTCATTGAGTGCTTCCCACCTGTGGATTGGCCAGGGCCCAACGTCTTGTGAAAAGTCAGGCCTCTGGAAGGCCGAGTTTCTCAAAGTCAGGGTCTTTTTAAATGGAGCCCCACATTAAAAGGTAAGTTAGAAAGGTTGTTCTGGACTCTTCTGTCAACAACTATAATTGAGATCAACTATTAGTTCACTGAAAATCAGTTTTCAAAAGTCAAAAAAAAAATACATTTGGAAAAGATCTTCCTACAACCATGAAATGTTTCCACGTTCATTTTATTCATTTTGACCATGACTGCAGAGACAGAAAGTCTCCACTTTCTCCTGGCAAAGGGGGCCCACACTGCTGTGATAGTCCTGGCACAATGACCCCAAGGGCAGCATGGTGGCTAGTGTTCCCTGAGTTCTCACAGCGGGACTACTCCACTGGAAGCACACCAGCTACAGCCTGGATTTCATCGGTCACCCCATTACTCTAGGGCCCTGTGGTCTCTAAGCACTGTTCCTGGGCACAGGAAGTCTGCGGTTACACTCCAAGGCCCAGTGCCGCCGTCTAGTTCTTCACATACTTCGTAAGGGTCAGGCCTGGCCTGACATGTGAGGGACAGAGGTCAGTGGGGACTGGGGTGGATTCCTGTGACAGAGGCTATAGGACACACACATGATCACAGGGGTGTCCAGCCCCAAAGTGACTTTGTTGTCATTTTGCTTTGTGCTTTTGAGACAGGGTCTCTCTGTAGCACTGGCTGTCCTAGGGCTCTTTATGTAGCCCAGGCTGGCCTCGATCCCAGAGATTCTCCTGCCTCTGCCTTCTGACTGCTGGGACTGAAGGCGTGTGCCACCATGCTCAGCCCCAAGTGACTTAATGGAGACAAGGAACCTCTTCTGCCTACATCTCAAGTGGCAGCAAGAAGCAGCAAGTGGAGGAAGTGTTCGCAGCCGCACACAGCCGAGCAGCACGGGGCACACGAGGCACAGACGGAAATGGGGAGCAACCGCTGGGGAGCAACGGGAATTCCTTACACACGCCTGGAGCCGGGGACTGCAGGTGCCACACTGTACCTGGGATGGCCAGGAAGCACTAGTTCTGAAAAGTGTACAGACAAGGAAGGTTCTCTTTCGGACTCGTTCTGGCTGTCGATGGAAACCCAGCAGGACATACCACCTTCTATGGCATAGCCTGAAACTCTGGGGCACAGCAGTCACCACCACCAGTTACTGCTCTTACCAAGGGGCACCTTTCTTGGAATCACAGGGCTATGTGGGAAGCTTCCTTTCTCCACTAACAAGCCGAGGGCCTCTGGCCTCCCAAGGGGGACACGCTGACTCTACACCGCCAGCTTTCAGGAGCAATAACTCTAAAATAGATTTATAAAAAATTTAAATGAACAAGATGAGGCTGGAGAGATGCCCCATGGTTAAGAGCACTGGCTGCTTTTGTAGAGCACCCAGGTCCAGTTCTCAGCACCTACATGGGGCAGCTTACAACTGCCTGTAACTCTGGCTCCAGGGGATCTAACACCGTTAGATCTCTGGCCTCTGTGGGCACTGCACACATGTGGTGCACATACAGACAAAGTAGGCAAACACACACATAAATAAAAATAAAGTTTTAAATAAACCAAAGCCCTGAAGTTTCACGAAGAAGGAAATATCCACCTGCTGCTGCTGCTGTATACTGGCTCTATTTTGCACACAGGCTCTATCTGGGTCCTAGATTGTAAAAAGCAAATCTTTTAAAAACAGCAAACCTAGCCTGGTGGTGGTGGTGCAAGCCTTTAATCCCAGTACTTGGGAGGCTGAGGCAGGCAGATCTCTGAGTTCGAGGCCAGCCTGGTCTACAGAACAAGTTCCAGGACAGCCAGGGCTACACAGAAAAACCCTGTCTTGTAAAAAGAAAAAGGGGAGGGGGAGGGGGGAAGCAAACCATACCCTGAGGCCAAAGCCAGCCCAGGACTTGTTTCTAGAAAGCTCTCAAGGTAGGGCTGACTCAAACAACAAAAGCACCAAACAAGGGCTGTGCAACAGACTGTCTGTGGCCTGAAAGGCCTGAAATATTTGCCATGTGGCCCTTCCAGAACAAAATGCCTTGCACCAGGACGGGTATGTGGAGGTTCCAGGAAGGAAGTGTCACTCGGGATTTGCAATCTGCAGTCTCGAGAGCCAGTGAATGAAGAGAAGAAACAGACTGGCCATGCCTGGCATGCGGGGAACTGGTGGGGCCTGATGCAACTCTGGGCAATAAATGTAAGAGACACTCTGTGAGGAGCTCTAAGGAGCCTCCTTAAAAGGAGAGGCTACAGCTCCCACCTCCTCTTCCTTGTCTGAAATGTAGCCACAGCAGCTGGAGAGGAAGCAGCTCCCCAAATCACAGGCTGGAATCCATGTGTAAGGACGGCAGGAGGGTGGGACAGGTGCATCCCTGACCACTCAGGAACCTCACACCAGCCTTTGCCTGTCTCTGAACTTCATATATGGAACATGACATATTTGTTCTCGTGTGTGCAGACCAGAGGTTAATCGCTCTCTACTTTTTGAGGTAGGGTTTCCTCTTGGATTGGGAACTTGCCTACGTGACTAGACTATCTCATCAGCAAGCAACAAAAACCTGTCTATCTTGACTCCCCTTAGTGGTAGGATCATGGGTACAAGTTGCTGTGCCTAGTTTTTTGGTTGTTGTTGTTGTTTTTAATAACACCATGTTCAGGATCTGAACTCAGCTCTCTGTGTTTTTGTGGCAAGCACTTCACAGACTGTGTCCAAACCCTCCAAAAGTTTTATGTCTGACTTTGTTTTCACACTGATTGATCGTCCCCCCGTGGAGGTCAGAGGACATTATGAGGGGCTCGGACTCAGGTCAGCAGTCTGGCGGCCAGCGCTATTCCCTGCCCAGCCATCTCCAGCCGCAAATGTCTTGTCTTTAAAAGCTTCTCCTTGGTTGAGTCTGTGTCCTTGTTGCTGTGGTTAGAAAGCATCCCCTTCCTCTAGGTGTTCCTTTGTTACACAAGCTGAGACTGCTACGCAAGCCCAGTCCTGGTGGTGACCGTGAAGTGACAAAACTCTGGGTCTCCACAAGGTTTTCCCCAAGGCTTTCAGTGGAAGAAAATGAGAAAAAAAATCCTTGTCTGTGTCTGTCTGTCTGTCTGTGTCTGTGTGAGTGTCTGTGTGCCCACAGCGGTCAGAAAAGGGGAGCAGATCCACTTTAGCTGGAGTTATGGGGGAGCTGCCTGATACGGATGCTGAGAACTGAACTAGCAGGAAGTGCTCTTAGCTACCGAACCATCTCTCCACCCCTATTATTATTATTTTAAATTATAAACATTTAGTCTATATGAGTGGCTGGAGGCGGGGGATATAGGAGGCTGGCAGGGAGGCCCTAACACCTCCAAGAGCAAATGGTGTCAGATCTGAGGTCAGAAGGGAAGCAGGCATTGAACTGGCCCAGACTGGAAGATCTGAATTTGTGAGCAGCCATAATTCCCATCCACGACTAGTAAATGTGAGCTACTCTGGTGAAGGTTTCCACTGTAAACAGTGCTCAGCCCTGCCTGCTGGTCAACCAACACCTGCCAGGTACTTCACAGACAGGATCCTCTCTCCCCTCACACCTTCCCACGAGAATCTCAGAGGAGTCACTCGTCCAAGGTCACACAGCTAGTGGCGTCTATGGAAATCTTCAGATTTCCATGGCAAATGACAGTACTCATGTGGGAAGGAAATAATCTGCCTTTCCAACTCATTCTCAATCTTTACTCCCCCTGCCCCCGCCCCCCCCAAATTCCACTGAACAACTGAATGAGGGTGGTGAGTCAGTCTGCAGGAATGTACCATTTCTCCTCCGAGCAGGACAGTAGGATGAAGACAGCCAGCTAAAGCCTTTGTATGTGCATACTCCTGGCCCTCCCAGCTGAGGCAGCTTCCTCACATACCAGGACATGGGCTTGTAAGGTGTCCTTGTGAGGTGGGAATGAGGAGGATCCTTTGGGTAATCTCCTAGGAGGGGCAGGGGAACGTGACTTGGTGCCTAGGTCCAGCCGACATGTGTGAAAATCAGGAGCCTGCCACTGGCTGTGAGTTCGCCTGAACCTTGCCTGGCCTACCAGGGAAGGTGCCTATCCTCAGAGGGCTGTTACAAGTATAAAACTGGGTAGTGTAAAAAAGCACCCATCAGGCTGGGAAATGGTAGCACACACCTTTAATCCCAGCACTTGGGGAGGCAGAGGCAAGTGGATCTCTTGTGAGTTCCAGGACAGCCAGAACTACACAGAGAAACCCTGTCTTGGAAAAATCAAAAACAAAAAACACAAAACAATCCAAGAAATACAAAACCCCAACAACAACAAAACAACACAAAAAACCCCACCCATTGTTTGCTATTATTACTATATGATTCTAATTACAAATGCCCATGCTGACCAATTTCGCTCCTTGACGGACACCCTCTAGGAGAAGCTTCCAGTACCACAGGCCAGTTGACCTGGCTTTCCTTAGGGACGTTTCTGACCTCCTCTGACCCCTGCCTTAGCACCAACACTCCTTTCACGTAAACCGTGGACTTCTCTGTCAGGACCTGCGTCACTGTCGTGTGCAGTCCTGTCCCACTACGGGCACACAGGAGGCTCTTGATAAATGCTCAGTAATAACCAGGACAAAACTGAACACAGAGCTCCTCATCTACGGGCACTGTGTCGTGGCTAAGGCATCCATACACGCGGGCGTGCACTTGTGCGGGTGTGCACTTGTGCGTGTGTAGGCTTGCCTGCATGGCCGTGTGTGTGCAGGTCAGAGGTCAACTGTTCTGAGTCTGTTCTCTCCCATCTTTTTGTTTGAGGCAATCTCCCTTGTTACTTCTGGTCCCATGCTGCATATTCCAGACTTGCTGGCCCGAGAGGTCAGGCAGCCTCTTGGCTCTGAGCCTTTTCCTCACCCTTGTTCTCGCTAAACTACTTTTCAAAACAGCTGTGAAAAAGGTAAGTTCAAGTTCCTCAGGCTGTGCCTGTGCGCTGCCATCTCCCTGGGGTCACACTGAGAAACCAGCAATCTTTCCAACAGGCCTTCTTCTGACCAGTACAGCTGTGCTTTCATGATTCCATAAGAGCTTCTACTCTGGAGTGTCCTGAAGCTCCCGTGGAAGCCTGATCTCTTGTCTCAGCTGTTCTGACTGTTAGGACGTTTCATTGAGATCAATCTGACTGAAGGAAACCTAAACAATATCGCCTGGAAAAGAATTCTGGTTTCCGGAGCTGGGACAGGAGAAGCAGGGATGGGCGAGTCAGAACTCGGCCAGAAAGTATGGGAAGGTCATGTCCATCCTGTCCACTGACTGCCTGAAAGGAGCCACAGTAAGGACGGAGGGGACAAATTCTGCAGTGGCTACGGCCAACACTCATGGCCTCGTCAGTTAAACCAGATGACGTGACGTCTGCTGACTGTGACAAGACAGCATGGAGCGTCAGAGAAGCCTGTCATATGCCTGTCATATGCCCTCCCTCCCTCCAAGTAAACCCAAAGCTCCCTGGAGACACAGCAGCCTCTACTTTAAAGGTGCTTGGGAAGGAATGCCTGGGGCTTCAGCTAACACAGCCCAGTTGGGAGTGATTTCTGTCACCAAACAATATCTCCTTGGCCTTCTCTCTGTCATTTAAACCCTTTGGGGTCTTTGTTCTATTTAGAGCTTCTAAAGGACACACCAAGAGGCACGTTTCAGGAACCTCATAGCCTGGTTGAGTAGAGAAGTCTTTCTGACCTAGGCTAACTAATACGGTTATTGTTTTGGAATAAGGGTCTATAAAAGGGGCATAGTCTTTCCAAACCACATCTATAAAGCATGCATTTAGCAGCACATAACTAATAATGAACAGCAATGAATGTCTACAAGCTTGGTGTATTCCAGGCATTGTTCTTAAAGCACCCTGCATTAACTAATCCAATCCTGCAATGCCACAGGGCAGCCACTGCTGTCACAGCTGCTTGTGGGTGTGCTCAAGGTGTCATCAAGATGAACTAAGGGAGTAACTGCCAAGTCTACAGACTATAAGTGGGGAACCTGGCATTCAAAGCAGGCCAGCCCCTCGGCCTCTCAGAACCGCTCCTCCTGTCCATTGCAAAGCCCTTTCCAATCTGTGCCCTCCATTCCCCATTGCTTCTCGCCGCTAGGATTTACATTCTCAGCCTGGCTTCTGGGCCCCAATCCCAGGCTCTCTATAGTCTGCACTTTGCGATAACTGTGGCTCCTAACTCCTATGAGGCTATCTGCAATGGCCCAGATAGTAAGCATATTGACCACATCACAGAGATCAAGTACATTCTTTCAACCACTCAACCCTGCTCTTCTACCAGGAGTCCTAGATGCTCCTATGACACAACAAGGTAATGAATGGTTGAGATACTTGGAGTTTTGCTAAAAGGCAGTACAAATATTTGCCATTGCAGCATGGCAAGCTGGTGCATGTTCTCAGCCAGATCTGGGACATACTGCCCACAGAGGACTGAACACCAAATGTAGGAGGGGCTGGTCTCTGGCAGCGTGAGAATGAAGCAGTTACTTGGACAGAATTGGCCCATCCCATAGCTCTGGAAGACATTCACTCCAGTGTATGGTCTATAATCAAGTTCACAGCTTCTGGCAGCAGGCTGGCCGCTCAGTTAGGGCCATCTGGAACCTGACTGTTACCTTCACTCCATCCAGCACAGCTTTGATGACCCCCTTCACACTCGTCACCATCTCTTTATCTTCTGAGTTCACACCCTCCAGCATCACCTGGTCAGACCATCGGATAAGGTTGGCGAGGCTCTGGTATACTCGGCTATAGCAGGAGGAGAGGGCTGAGCTACAGGGAGGCGGAGAAGGGTAAAGAGCATTAGAAAGCAGTCTGCATCATCCATCCATCCCTCCCTCCCTCCCTCCCTCCCTCCCTCCCTCCCTCCCAGTGAGCACTAAAAGGGAGCCAGCATTTCAGTGTCCAGGCAACATTTCTTTTATAAAACCCATGGTTTTCTTTTCTTTTCTTTTTTTTTTTTTTTTTTTTTTGAGACAGGGTCTTGCTCTGTAGCCGAGACTAGCCTTGGCCTGACTTCTTAATTCTTCTGCCTCAGCATCCTGATGCTGAGATTAGAGCAAGTGCCACAGTCACTCAGTTGATCTCTCTCTCTTTGGTTTTTCAACACAGGGTTTCTCTGTGTAGCCCTGGCTGTCCTTGAACTCACAGAGCTCTGCCTGCCTCTGCCTCCAGAGTGCCCCTAAGATGAGTCTTCTTAAGGAATTCTTGAAAGGGTTACTGCTCTCATTTCAGACTTGACACATTGTAACAGAAGAGCAAACTCCCTCATTACTAAAGCAGAAACTTAAAAACCAAGGGTACAATTTAGATAAGACAACACAGTGTGGTAAGATGTGACTAAAGCAGGCCGCACACCAGGGTCTTTAAGCGCTGTACCGATGAGGCTCTGGGGAGTGCATCAGTACGAGGGAAGGAGCTACGCTCTCTGCCAGCCATGGCTGCGCTCTGCATGCACCAACAGAACACAGCGAGAAGGAAAGCAAACCCCTCCGGTCCCCGAGAATGAGGGGAGCAGGCCAAGAGGCCTGGGGATGGTGTCTCGGGCTCACAAGGATGAGGCAGAAGGGAAAGGGTGAACCAGTTCTGCCGCCTGTCTGGCAGGTCAAGTGCCCTGGGGACATGCCCAACACTAGCAGCAGGTCCTCTGGGTTTTTTGTCCTTCTATCCGCCCTGCCGGTCCAGCTGCTTTCCTCCACCACCTTTTCCTTCTCTGCAGCTCTCTCACTGCCTTCCTCAGTGTGCACTCATCACATCTTGGGGAGCTCAGCTTCTGAACTCGATTTGAACTCTTCCTGGTGGGGGCCCTCACATGAGAACAGAGGTATGACAGCATCTAGAGATACCTCCACACATCGGATGGCCTAATGTCAGGCTCATTTTCTCAAAGGACACCACGGAGCTTCCATGGAGTGAACTAAGGGAGAGCCACAGTGCAGACAGCAGCACCAAGCAAGCAGCAGCACAGAGAGCCAGAGGCACAATCCCTAGGGGCAGCTAGCAGAAGCTGGTGTGGACGTCCCAGGCAGACTATTTCTTGGAAATAAAGACACACAATTTGTTATCTCTCAGAAGAAAATTGTGAACTTCATTGCCAAGTTCTGAAAGCCATTCATGAAAGCTCAGTCTCAGGGGGCTAAATGGACACTAAGCTGCCTTGAGAAGTCCACACGGAGATGATGCATCGATGATGAACGGGCACCACCGACAAAACCTCAGACCTGCCAGCCTCTTCAGAAGAGTTCCTACCAGCTTGGAGACTGCATCTAGCACTGCTTTCCTTGTTGTACTTTACAATAAACACAGGCCAAGCTAACTTGTCAGAGGAAAAGGCACTCTAGCAATCAAAGGCTGCCTGGCAGGGCCTGGCCTGGCACAGCAAGGGTCCACTACACCTTGCTTTTATCAGATGATAATCCCAGCAGCTGTGGACCTGTATGACAGGACTGAACAACGTCATGGTAAGTGATGACGGAGGCTCTAAGAGGGAGTCCAACTCAATATGATCGATCACTCTAGTAAGCTAATGCAGCAAGATACAGCCACAGCTCCAAGGGCCGTGCATCTGCTGGGATGGTGGTGTCAGCCAGCATCCTGGCCTCTGGAGGAGCAGTCGCCTCAAGGCTGGTAAATGGGAGCAAATGCAAGCCTCCTTTCCCCTCACATTTCAAATGCCCCAAACCAAGGTCCCTCTAAGCCCCACTGCTGTCAGAGCTAAGGACCTTCAGGGAACTCACCTGTGCTGGATCCGGGGGTCAGTCTGTACCAGGGGTAAGATGGCCTCCAGCACCGTGCTGGCTGACCCTGGGAGCATCTCCAAAACCTTCTTATCAATGGCCATTTTGTCCACAATGGTCTTAAAGTAGCGCAAGGCGCTGACCACCTCCTTCTCTTTCTCCTCCAACCAGCACAGGCTCTGAAAGGGAACAGCACGCTTCAGGAATGGCAAGAAGTCAAAGGAGCTATTCTGAACAGTCAAATCTGTCAACTAGCTCGACACTCCTGCAAACAGAAAAGGTTCTTTCTGGCAGCAGAGACCAAGTCAGATGGTTTCTCTATGGACTGTGATCAGGAGACAGGACTAGCAGGGAAGGAGACAGGCTTAGGACTAGCAGGGTCATTTAGAGACTTGGGGATCCCCTTCCCAGACTCTGAGATCCTGAAAACATTCTCCTCAGTATTCTCATTGGCTACCTGAGATAGCACTTCCTCTCTGCCTCCCAGTGGGCGATGAGGCCTCTGAGGACACAGGAGGCAATAGTCATGCCCCAGGACACGTACCCTAATCCCAGAATCATAGCCAGGATCCAAAGATTGGAGGACTGGATGCATTCACAGCCCATCCTCCACCTAGTCCCCCACACAGTCCTACCCAAACCTGGAGCTCCCTCCCCATGAAAGAACTGTGACTTCAAAGGACTCCAATCTCAGGGCTGGAAAGAGGAGGAGAGGAGGCCAGAGCCAATGTTAGTAATCCAGTGACTGCTGGTGCAGTGGCTGCTAACAGCATTTGGGTACTCTGATTCCAAAGAGAGCCACCTGGAAAGAAAAAGACAAAAAAACAAAAAAACCAAACCAAACCCCACAGTGCCTGGATTTCCAGAACTCACCCTCCTAACGCCCACTTTTCTCCTTGCCTGCAGGCAGCCTTGGACCCACACCCAGCGGGGCACACAGCTCCAGACTCCTCTCCCCAGCCTCCCTCTCCAGCGGTGCAGATCCAGGGCGGCGGCAGCAGACCCGAGAGCCACAGTAAACACACACACACACACACACACACACACACACACACACACACACACACAACTCACTCTGTAGCCCAGGCTGGCCTCGAACTCAGATTCGCCTACCTCTGCTTCCCAAGTGCTGGGATTAGAGGCGTGTGCCACCACTGCCTGGCTCATTTAAAAATCCAATATGGGAGGCTATTTCATAGGAACACTAAAAGAAATATCTGTAAGTGGATGGAATCAAATAAACAGTACTTCACTCAGCTAACTTCCAAAGACCTGGTTCGGCTTCTCAGAGTGCTCTGCAGACCACCAAGAGCCCCCCTTCCCGTGACAGCCACTGTTCTCCTCCTATCTCTACCTGACATGATCCTTTCTTGCCTGTCTCTAAGAGGCTGAGCACTGCTTTTTCTGCTGCCTGGGTAAGAGTGCTCAGCTTCACTGTAACGCCCCCCAACCCCCACCCGGGGCCAGAATCAGGACTCCCAGTCCTGGTGACAGGAGGAAGGAGGGCGGACACTGTGTCCTGCACATCAAAACAGACTGGAAGGCAACACATCACACACAGGCAAGAGTGAAGGAAAAGCTGAGAGGGGAAACAGTTCCAAGTTCAGGCACTTTGGAGCAGAAAGGCTTTTCCTGCCACTGAGGAGAGACCACATGGGAGCCAGGCTCCCTGGACTCAGTAAAGGAGCTCAGTAAGGACTCAGCAGGGTCAGGTAGTCTCTGTCTCCATCTACTAAATTCCATCCCTGAATGAATGGTCTCCTAATGCTCTACATTCCTGAGTCCTTCAGCTGTTAAACTGTGATCAGCAGTCAGCAAAGTGCATAACTGAGCACCAGCTGACCTGGGGACTTAGTGCTGTGCTGCACTATAGAGTCACCTCAGAGTGACCAACCTGCATGCCTCTCCCACCCCAGGGGAGCGGGTGCTATCACCTGTCCTCTTAAGACTGGTAACTCTGTGAGGCTCTCAATCCCGGGAAGGGCCTAGTTCTAAGGCCACGCTGGACTTGGGAGCAGTAGATTCCAGCTCCTTGTTTGGGAACAGGTGAGCGCATCTGCCCTATGTTATTAAAGAAGTTACAGTGGGTACCTGAAGCTGGAGCTCAGTGGAACAGCACTTACCTAGCATAAGGAAAGCCACGGGTTCCATCCCCAGCATTGAAAAACAGTCCAAGAAACAGAAACAACCAAGTGGGCGCCCGACTGGGCGAGTATGGACGTCACTAGCAACCTTTCTACTAGTGGAAAGGTAAGGGAGTAGGACAGAGGCTGTAAAGGTCGGAGTGGGGAGGAAAGGGCCAGGTCACAGCTGCCACACTGAGTGTTTCAAGCCACCCACAGAGCTCTGCACTTCGGATGAATTTGTTTCAGTCCAGGCTGTTGCCTTCCCACAGAACAGATGCTATTATTTCATAAGTGGGGAAACTGAGGCTAGGCAGGAAGGGGGTAGGATAGGTAACCTGCCCAAGATCCCACAGCTGAGTGACAAAATTAGAACACAAACTGGATATGTTTCATTCTACAGTACAAAACAAACAAACAAACAAACAAACAAACACCAGTTCAAAAGTGTGGAGGAAGCTGGTATGGTGCTGCACACTCATAATCGCAGCACTTAGGAGGCAGAAATACAAGTTTGAGACTAGCCTGAGCAACATGGTCAGAACTGCTCTCACACACCTGGTCCCAGCAGCACAGTAAATAGTTGGAGATCTGCAACAGCCTAGACAACATAGCAAACGAACACCATAACACGTACCCACCCCACCCCACGTCCCAGAGAGCCCTGGGCGCAAAGCTATTATTTAATAAATAAAGGGGACGCAGGTTAAGTGGAAGCTGAGGTCACTCTCCTGCCTGGTAGTGGTGACACCACAGCACCTGTGCTTTTTTGTCTTGAGCCACTGAAGAGTACAGAGACAGGGGAGAAGGAAGGATATAAACTGGCCCCAGTCTTCAGCTGCTGCCTCACATCAGAGCAGGAGCAGATCCCCAGGTCGGACCTGCAGCCCTGGCCTCTCTGCTTCATGGGAACTAAGCTGTGTTCACAGCACTGCAGACAGTCAGTCAGGTAGTCGTGGGCCGAGTCATGGGTGGGGAGGAGCCATTAGAAGCAGCATATAAAAAGCTGGAACCAGGTGGGGCTGATGGTTCGTGCCTTTAATGCCTGCACTTGGAAGTCAGGGGTAGTCAGTCTCTGTGAGTTTGAGATTAGTCTGGTCACAAGTTTCAGGACAGCCGGGGCTATAACACTACAACACAGCAGAACAACCAAAACCGGAACCAGGATCACGTAAAGACAACTCAACATCTTTCCTTCTTCTGTCCCCAGCAGCCAGGCCCTGCAGAGAGGCACATCTAACAGAGCTCAGCTGTGCCAGGCTCTGGGGCAGTGGCATCTCTCTGCCTGCTTCACAGATCTCCACAGCTGAAAGGGGAACTCCTTCAGGAGTCCACAGGAGGGGCCCTAGGGTTCAGCCGCTGTCTAGATGCCCCAAGGGTTGGAGAACTCACCCCTTCTGAGCCACTTTTGGACTCTGTTAACTAATCATATAGAGATGATCAGCTTTGGGATGTGACTAAACTTTCTCTGCTATTTTTAACAATCCACAGCTCACTGCTAAGCTTGCTAAAAGGTTGAAGAAAAACTGACAAATTTTTCTATGAGAAGACTACTGTGTCTAGATGGACCCAGGCTGAAAACAGTGGACAAATACAGTGGACAAAACAGACTTAGAAAGTCTGGGCCACAGCCAATCCTGTCTACTAGAAATAACAAAAGCTCTCTCTCCACGTGGCTGGAGCAGAAAAATAAAACACCAGGTGTGAACCACAGGGACAGACAGGGGCAGACAAGGAGAACCCAGGAAGCAGCAACAGTCTAGATCTGCACTTCCGCCTCCTATGCTTCAGATCCTGGGAGTTACAGGAACGCCACAAGTGGAATAACATGAGATGCATATGCAAACGCTCGCAAGAGGTGACAGAGAAGGTAGGCAGACGTGACAGGCAGCAGCGCCCTCCCACACCACAGGCTTGTGGACACTGTCCTCTCACCTGTGTGCTGTGGCAGCTTCCATCCTGGGCCTGCACTAAACAGCAGCCCACACTCATTAAGGGCCCTGGGATGAGCAAGGTTGAGCTCTAACCCCGGCCCTGGCCCCAGAGGCTGTACCTGCAGCCCCTGCTATGGGGCAGGTCTCACCTCAGCACTACAAACATCCCAGGCCTTGGAGAGGACACACTGCTGCTACAGGCTCTTCACCAGCATTGCTGGCACCTACCGACTGCACATGCAACTAGCTCCTGCTTCACCCTCCTGTGATGACAACTGAAAACGTCTCAGGCATTGCTGGGGCTTGCAGACACCTCACTAAGTGAAGGGTATGTTTCTATCAAAATTCCCTCCATGGTCTTTCTTCGGCCAATGCATAAAGAAAAGATTCCAGGATCAAATGGCGGAGCATTTTCCCATCAACATTCTCTTGCAGAGCAAAGCTGTCTGTCAATGAGCCAGTTATATGCTGCACGGCTTAAAGGTGTGAGCTCTAAGAGTGTGCTATGCATGCTATGACACAGAACAAACCTCTCTCTGCTCAAGGCTTCTACACGGAAGCAGTGCACCTGAAAAATGCCAAGTACCGCTCTCCTGCTCATAGGAAGCAACTCGTCCAACAGAATTTCTTACAAACCTTCTTCTTTCTACCTTTAACTACTTTTAAGAGACTCTGTTCACATAAACAGGGTAGCGTTTGTGAGCCACATTAAACTGACAGCTATGACAGCAGTTCTATATTTAATTACTCCTGGATCGTCACAGGGGCAGGGGGAGCAGTTCATCTACAAAGCTTGTTTTCATTTACATCGCTAAGTGTATTTTTTAATGTAAAGTAGTGCACCAAATGAACATTTTGACTTTTGAGACATTAACAAACACATAGGACTTGATTTCTTAAAGAAGACACATAGCAGCTGGGTATGATGGCACGCACCTGTGGTCCTAGCATTCAGGAGGCAGAGGCAGGAGGATTGCACTTTAAGACTAGCTTAGGCTAGAGAGCCATGGCATGTTTCAAACAAAATAAAGCAAAACCCAGGCCTGGGGACATAGCTTGGGGCAAAGCTTTTGACTAGGACACACGAGGGCCTGGAGCAGACCCTCAGCACCAACCACAGAGAGCCCCAGTCAGGCTCCGGCATCAACAGCCTGCATCCAAATCCAGACTTTCCCACTGCTTTGTGGCTCCCCACCTTTAGAGACTCGGTTCTTTTTAAGCAGGGCAGGTTTTCACTGCCAGGGATGTTGGGAAGAGGGTTGAGCACTCAGCACAAGGCTGGAGAGAGGTCCTGTCAGGGCCAGTGCTGGTGACACAGGCGCCCCTTGCTGAGAACCTTACAGTTGGCTGCAATAGCATCCCAAGGCTTTAGAAGCCTTTTCAATACACCATGCCCATCATCTCAGCAACTCAGGGACAGAGCAGCCACTCTGGAAAGGTGATGCTCATCCATTGCCCCAGTGCCCACTCAATTCCACTCTTGAGGACCCAAACTTTGGCTGCGGAGACTGAGCTCCCTCCCCATCAAGACCACTCAGATAGATGCTTTTATTCAAGAATTATATGAAATACTTAAGCCCATGGTTGCCACCCAGCTAAGACACAATGACATCGCCACAGGTATTTTTCCATCCCCAGACCATGGACCAGTGGAAGTTCTGCAGTGGAAGGCAAGGCAACCCCAATTGTTCTTAATGTCACACTGACCTTCTGCCTCTGAGACCTGGAAGCCACAGCACTGGTGGACATAAATTCTACTGCCTGCTGCTCCAGATCCAAGGGGATAGGGTAGCCCTCTGGTAGAAATCTGTCTCTTGCCTCCTGGAAGAGAGGAAACCTGGATTCCTACAGAGCTTGAAATGGATGTTGCAGGCTGGAGGGAGGGGCTGATGAGAATCAACAGCTGTTCCACACATCTGGCTCAGCTGGCCCTGATGAGGTTACTAGTGCTGGAGGATATCTTTAGATGGGATTCAGGGCTTTGTGAGTGTCAGAGCCCAGGTCCTGGGGCTGAATGACTTGTTCAGTACATCAGAGCCCTGTGTGAGAGGTACCCCAGGGCCTCAGAGAGGGAGGGAGGCAGCACCAGGTGTGAGCACAATGCTCTGAGCTATTTTAAATGCCCAGAGGATGATACAGAACTGTCCAAGCCACTGGCTGGACTGATTAGCAGGACAGGCACACATCATCCTAGAGGTCCCAGGTCCCAGGGACATAGATGGCCCTAGAAAGTGCACTTATGCACAGTGGAGTCGCCAGTGCTGGCCACAGGCTGGGGCCAGGAGGAACACCTAGAGATGCAGCTTACTTTGCTCACAGGCTTCTCAGGAGTCTTCGACACCTCGGCTGGCTTTCCCTTCTTGGATGGTGTTCTCTTGATTTTGGGAGAGTGGAATTTGTCCATCAGCTTCATGGTGAAGGAGGAGAGATGAGAACGCTGAGAGTCTGAAACACAGAGGCCTGGCTGTTAGAGGAGGAGGCGGGAGAAGCTGGAGCTTCCTGGTGGAAAGGAATAGGGCCTTTAAGCTAAGACCTTCTTCTTGAAAGAGTCAGAGGAAAGGACATATGGGCCCATTCTAACACTCTGCTTACATATGGCCAGTTTTGCAATTTCTACCTGTTTTAGGGTGATTATAATTGTGAGAAACAGAGGGAGGCAGGATGGGCATTAAGAAGAACTTGCATAAAATGTCAGCATGTCCTTGCTGGTTCCATATGAGCATCTAGTCAATGTCCAGGAGAAACAGTTAAGAATAGCCATGGGCTCAGAGAGGGGAGGATGTTCAGGAGGACCAGGGAAGGCCTCTGTAGCCAGTCTCCTATCCTTCAGTGTAGGAGGCACAGGCGGCACAGGCCAGGTCTCAGAGGTGGCAGCAGACAGAAACAGAAGCAGGGTGCTAAAACCCTCTGGTCTAATATAAAAGACTGAATGAGTTCCAAGAGTAAGATGACTCAAGGATGTCTGTTGTCACCGTTTCTGGCTGGCACTGTACTTGAAAAGTTTCTTTCTTTCTTTTTTTTTATATAAAGATTTATTTATTTATTATGTACACAGTATTCTGCCTGCATGTCAGAAGAGGGCGCCAGATCTCATTACAGACGGTTGTGAGCCACTATGTGGTTGCTGGGAACTGAATTCAGGACCTCTGGGAGAGCAGCCAGTGCTCTTAAGCTCTGAGCCATCTCTCCAGCCCCACACTTGAGGTTTCTTTTTCCTTCTCTCTCTTTTTTAAAAGATTTATTTATTTATTATGTACACAGTATTCTGCCTGCATATCAGAAGAGGTCGCCAGATCTCATTACAGATGGTTGTGATCCACCATGTGGGTGCTGGGAATTGAACTCAGGACCTCTGGAGGAACAGCCAGTGCTCTTAACTGCTGAGCCATCTCTCCAGCCCTTGAGGTTTCTTACAGGATAATTAGTAAGAGGGGGGAAAGTACTCAGCTTAGAAGGAAGAACGACACTTTTTCTCTATGTTCTCATCAGGGTCTCACTATATGGCTCAAGATGGCCTCATAGGGCTGGGTGGTGGTGGCGCATGCCTTTAATCCCAGCACCCGGGAGGCAGAGGCAGGCAGATCTCTGTGAGTTCGAGGCCAGCCTGGTCTCCAGAGTGAGTTTCAGGAAAGGCACAAAACTACACAGAGAAACCCTGTCTCAAAAAACAAAAAAAAAAAAAAAAAAAAAAAAAAAAAAAAAAAAAAAAAAACCAAAAAAAGAAAAAAAAAAAGGGCCTTACAGTGAGTTTGCCTCAACCGCTGGAGTTCCAGGGTCACTGGTATGCAGGAGCACACGCAGCTCTCTATTTGCAGAGATGGTGTACGGAAACTCTTTGCTAACACCAGGTAAAGACAGCTCAATGGAGAGGGCAGTGCTTTGCCTTGTGTGCCCATGGCCTGGGCTTGGCCCAGAACCATAGTAAATAAAGAAGTAAATAAAACACAACAGCTTCACGTAGTGGCACATCTTTAACCTGGGAGGCAGAGGCAGACAGAGCTTTGTGAGATCTAGGCCACTCTGGTCTACACAGTGGGTTCAGACCAGCCAGGGCTACATAATAGATTCTGTCTCAAAACAAAACAAAACACTACCAATACTAATAGATTCAGTAAGGCCATAGGACACAACATCAACATATTAAAACTATTTGTATTTTTATAAAGTAGCAATGAACATTCAAAAATGATAAATTAAAAAACCTTTAATTTATATCAAAAAGGACATCCTTGGACATAGATTTTGCAAGAGAAATTTCACACTTACATTAAATACTGCTGAAATTAGAGACAACTGAAATATGTGGAAAAGTATCCCATGTTCTTGGTTCAAAAGGCTTACTATTGTTACAGCAGCAATATTTCAATAGTAACAACTTGCTATCCCAGAGAATTCTGCTAGCTTAATTCTTTTGGTAAGCGTTGACACTCTAATCCTAAAATTAGTAAAGAAATATGAGACATCCAGAACAGCCAAAACAAACAGCAAAGCGGGAGGACTGATATGTCTCGATGTAAAAATTAAGCCATATTAATCAAGACTCTGCGGTACTATAGCATAAAGATGGATCCAAGAACAGAAAAACTAAGACTCTAGAAATAAGCCCACACGTCTACACTGATTTTCAACAAGGATAGGGTGGCCACTGAATGAGGGAGGAACAGTCCTTTCAACAAGCAGTGCAAAAGAATGAACTGGGACCTCTGCTTTACACTGCATACTAAAATGAGCTTCCAATAAGTCAAAGATCTGAACTTAAGAGTTAAACCACTTAGAAGAAAGCACAGGTAGTTTGTGGCCTTGGATTGGAGCCCATTCTTAGCTGTAACACCAAAAGCACAAGGAACAGAAATAAAAATCGATCAATTAGAACTCCATCAACATTAAAATCTGTGCTGTAATGACTACATCAAGGAAGTAGAAAGAGCCTATAGGATGGAGAAAGTAGTCACAGATTATATATCCGATGAGGGACTGCATAGAGAAGGGAAAAGCTTTCTGGGGAGCTGGAGGCCTGGTGGTGTATGCCTCAAATCCTAGTACTCTGGAGGCTGAGGCACCAAGATTACAAAACTGAGGTCAGCTTGGGCTACACAGCCAGACCTGTCTCAAAAACCCGCAGACACTCCAAGAAGGAAGTCGATGGGATGTGGCTCACTGGTAGAGAGCTTGCCTAACTCAGCCACGGCCTTGCACATGCTGCGTGCAGCACTGCAATATAAACAACAACAATGACAATAAAACTTTATAACTCAGCAACAGCAGACAAATAACCCTTAGAGTGAACAAAGGGGCAGAAAGACTGTAAGCTCCAAGCCAGTGTGAGCGGTCCAGGAAGACCCTGTCTCAAAAAAAAACAAAATAATCCCAGCACTCAGGAGGCAGAGGTAGGTGGACCTCTATGAGTTCAAGGCCAGCCTAGTTTACAAAGTAAGTTCCAGGACAGCCAGGGCTACATAGAGAAATCCTGTCTCAAAAACCAAACCAAACTAAACCAAACTAACAACCAACCAACCCACCCACCCACCCACCCGCCCACCTCCCCCCAAATTACGTTAATGAGTAACGAATTTGAATAGGGATAGTAAGAAAAAAACCATGCTTGTCACTGGAGCCTGATGACCTGAATCTGATCCCAAGAACCCATGGTGGAAGGAGAGCCAGCTTCTGGAAGCTGTCCTCAGACCATGTATATGCTGTGTATACACACAACAGTGCACACACACAATACACATCACACACACAATAAATAAAATCAATGAAACCAAAAGAATTTGAAAAGATATTTCTCCAAGAACATACTAGTAATAAATATATAAAAAAGATGGCCGGGTGGTGGTGGTGCACGCCTTTAATCCCAGCACTCGGGAGGCAGAGGCAGGCGATCTGTGAGTTTGAGGCCAGTCTGGTCTACAGAGCGAGATCCAGGACAGGCACCAAAGCTACACAGAGAAACATTGTCTCGAACCCCCCTCCCCAAAAAAGAGAGAGAGATGGTCAACACTTGGGCTCAGGTGGGAGCCCTGGGTTTGATCTCTAGCACGGGGGTGGGGGGTGGGGCGCCGCAGGACACAACCTGGCAACCAAGCAACAAACAAAAAATAGTTAACATTACTAGGGGAATGTAAATAAAGACCACCCGATGCTGAGGAGTACTAAAAACAACAGGTATACCAAGTATTGGTGGGGACTGGGTGAACTGGGAGCCTCATAGGCTGATGCTGGGAATGTAATAGCTTCATTGGCACACACCTGGCAGGTCGTCATCAAACACCACATTCTAGAAATTCCACTGGTAGTTGTATGTCTAAGACAAGTAAAGAGAAACTTCCATAGGGTGTGCACAGCAGTTCAGAGCAGCAGTTTTCACCATGGTCACAAGGTGAAAATAACCCAAAGGCCCAAACGCCTGTGGACAAATAAATAGAATAGGGTATATCCACCAGTGGAATGGTGACCCTGCAACAATATGGGTAATCTTGACAGCATTACCCTATGCATGACAGCCAGGCACCAAAGCCCACATATTGTGTGCTTCTATTTGTCTGAGAAGTCCAGTACAGTAAGTCCACAGAGACAAAAAAAACGGGCCAGTGGCTGCCTAAGACTGCAGAGGGAAAAGAGAAGGATGGGGAAGGACCATTGAGGAACATGGGGTCTTCTGGGGAGAGCAGAGATAACAGTGGCATCTGATGATGGTTGCACAAGCAGGTAAGTCACTGCACACTTCGAGTGAGCAAGTGCTAAGACACACAAATGACATCTCAACAAAGCTGATGGAAACAACTAACCAACCCACCAGGCAACTTTGTAATCTGCAGCCACCTTCCTTATTATCCTCATTAGGCTGTTTCCTGACAGGGACGCAAGTTCCCTGAGGGCCATCCCTGTGTGCTTGGTAGGCTGACAGCATCTGGCCCACAGGATGCTCAGGAACCAGTTCTTCAACCAAAGAACCTCAGCTATCACCCAATAGCCCCACACCAGGAGGAACACAACACTACTGCTTTCAGCAACAGCAGAGAGAGCCACAGGAAAATACTTAAAACTGGCAGGAAAACTAAAGGACAAATGTTATTGTAAGTTACCCGTAGTTTTGGAAAATAAAAAGCACTCCATCAAAATCCCTAGCAATTTAGTACTCACATAAACGGTGTCTCCCAACAATGACACAGCTGTCTCAGGGCTGTCACTGTCTGCACTGCTGCACGCAACTTAACAAGATCAAAGTTCGACTTCTTGGTCAAAGACATTCCCAGGGTCAGGCAGGACCAGATAAACTCTGGCCTCTGAAGATCACCAGGGAGCCCAGAAGCATCAGGGCCACACAGAAGAGCCTCTGGCCTTCACTCAGACACAGTGAACCAAACCCCGCCTCAGGCTGGGTGCTCCGGAGCAGCAGGAAGCCCTTACTCTCCGGGGCAGAGTGGACACTGGCCTGAAGG